TGCCACTGAGGCACTGCAGCAGGGTTGGGATGGGCGGGTGAGTGATGCGAGGGCTCCGGTGACACCGTGCCAGCCTGAGAAGGCCAAGGTGCAGACAGCACCTGGAGAAGCAGCTCCTTCCCACCACTGTGTGCACCAGCAGCAGCAAAACCAGGGGCAGGATGAGGCCATCTTGGAGCAGGAACAGCTGTTGGGGCATGTTCATGCACAGAGTCCAGCTCAGCACGGGCAGGCACCACATCGGAGAAGCTGCAGGAAGGCTTGGAGAGCCGAGGGGGACACATGGAACAGAAGGCTCAGGCACTGGTCACCCAGCACCAGCCTGCCCTCCCTGAGCGTGCCTGTCCTCATCCAACCCTCTCCTTGCACCCCCAGATTGTTGTCTTCGACCAGGAGAACTTCCAGGGCAGGCAGATGGAGTTCACCGCCGAGTGCCTGAACCTGGCTGACCGTGGCTTCGACCGGGTGCGCAGTGTCATTGTCACCTCCGGACCGTAAGTGACCCCAGCCACGGAGGGGGCTGTGACCCTGGGGACGTTCCTGGTGGGTGGGAACAATGTGATGTTCAGGGACATTTCCCTGAGCACAGGAGCACAGCAGGCATCCCGGATCTCCTTCGAGGAGGAGAGGAGGGCCAGGATAGGTGGGAAGGATGCCAGGGCCACATGCAAAGAAAAGGGGACCACAGGTGTCCATCATTTCAGCCACCTGGAGCTGTGCATGGAACACAATGCACCTGCAGATTTTAGAGAAGTCAAGGTGAAATGAGGTGGGATCCTTGGGCCAGGATGAAGCAGGCAACAGGGACAGGCAGCGACAAGCACCCGCCTGCACCCAGGCAGCTGAGCAGCAACAGGGGGCTGGGCAGGTCGCAAAGCCGTGGGAACAGTTGACACAGGCAGGGACAAAAACGATCCCCAAAGCAGATAACTGGGCAGACAGATGATCTCCATGTTGAAAGAGCATCCCACCGTGCCGTGCCTGGCTGGAAACAGCATGCCCAGGAATGCAGGGGGGCTGGTAGAGCTGTGGGGAGGATGCACGGGACATGGCTTGTCCTGACAGCATCCATGAGGGTCCGGGAGAGTGACCTGGAATGACACCATGCAGCACCAATGTCTTTTTTATTAGGAATCCAGAATATCCAACTCTTCTTGAAATAAATGGGGAATGGAGCAGCCTGGAAGGAGCTCAGATATGATACCTGGGAATCTGCACTAGACGTAGAAAGGGTGAAATTGGGAGGACAGAGATCTTGAGTGTCATTGGGGTCCTTAGAAGCTTCTTGAGAGTCACTGATGGAACTCTGCACCCAAAAATGTGCTTAGAGGAAGATGAAAGCAAAACAACAAAGCTGAGCTTTAGCAGGCAGCTTGAGGCTATGCAGCTTGAGGTACCTGAACACATCTCCTGCCAGCAGGAAAACCCCTGTTGGCATCTGCAGGAAGAGCTGTGCTGCAGGGAAAGGGGAAGCAGCAAATGCAGGACTGTTGTGGTGCTGGGGGCTTCTGGAGCCCCACACCCATGACATTCCCAGCACTCAGCACCTCGTGGCTCTGCTGAGGAGGTGACATTGCAGCTGGGTGAGCCCAACTCCCAGCAGTGGGACGGGTGCCAGTGCTGGCTGGTGATGGAGCAGTGAGGCGTGCGGGGTGCCAGGATTACACAGCCCAGGCAGGAGGGACAGCAGAGTCCTGAGCTGACTCTGCGGGGTCACCAGCTGTGCAGGGGTCCTGCTGCTCCCCAGATGAGGAAGAGGAGCACTGTGAGTGCTGGTGCCTGCTGCAGGTTTGGGCACTCACACACCAGTGAGCTTCCAGCCGGGAGGTCATGGATCAGCACTGGCTCTGTACAGGCTGCAGTGCCTGGGCTGAGAGAGAGGTGGGAGCAGGGTGGTGGGGCCTCAGCCGTTTTGGAGACTCCTCCACTGTCCTGCAAGCTGGCTGAGCAGGAGGGGAACTGCTGGGTGGCACCTGACCCGCTCTTTGCCCACCTCTCTCCCCAGCTGGGTGGCCTACGAGCAGGCCAACATGCGTGGGGAGATGTTCATCCTGGAGAAGGGCGAGTACCCTCGCTGGGACACCTGGTCCAGCAGCTACCGGAGCGACTGCTTCATGTCCATGCGTCCCATCAAAATGGTGAGTGCTGGGGAGCAGAGAGCCTGGTGGGATCTGCCCAGGGCTGTGTGCTCGATGCCTCGCTGCAGCAAAGCCCCAGGGCTTCGGCCACCCTGCCCAGCACCCTCCCTCTGTCATCCCCAGGAGGCTGAGGACCACAAAATCTCCCTCTACGAGTCTGCTGACTTCAAGGGCAACAAGATGGAAATCCAGGAGGACGACGTGCCCAGCCTCTGGGCTTATGGCTTCTGCGACCGCGTGGGCAGCGTGCAGGTGCCCAGTGGAACGTAAGCTGGGCTGCAGTGGCAGCTGCCTCGTGCCAGGCCCCCTGTCCTCCCTAACCAGCTGCAGTGGGCTCTCAGGCAGCCACAAAGCAGTGACATGGCTGGTTTTGATGGCATGGCTGCTTTTGGTGGCATGGCTGTTTCTGGTGGCGTGGTGATTTTGTTTGGCATGGCTATTTTGGGTGGTGTGGCTGTTTTGGGTGGTGTAGCTGTTTCTAGTGGTGGGGCTGTTTCTAGTGGTGTGCCCTGTCCCCCAGAAGTTGGTGGCCAGCACAGGGAGGCCGTGTCAGCCCCCTGAGCACCCACCAGCCGTGTGGCTGCTGCCTGGAGTGGCCGACCCCGCTCAGGCGCCCTGTGTTTGCTTTCCCCACAGTTGGGTCGGGTACCAGTACCCTGGCTACAGAGGCTACCAGTACCTCTTTGAGACCGGAGACTTCCGACACTGGAACGAGTGGTCTGCCTTCCAGCCCCAGATCCAGTCCATCCGCCGCATCCGGGACATGCAGTGGGACCAGAAGGGCACCTTTGTCACCCCCGACGCGCCCTCCGACTGAGCGTGCTGCCTGCTAGCTACGAGTCCCGGGCCCCGTGGGGCACCCCCGCCTCCCCTCGCGCTCGCCTGCCCAGCACTTTCCTTGTACATTGCACATTCCCTGGATGTACTCTACCTTGTGAGGCAAATTAAAAAAAAACCAGAAGATTAGAACTGCTCGGGGGTCCGTGGTGCATGAATCGCTTGCTCGGGATGGGCCAGCCTTGTGCTGGAGCAGGGTGAGACACGGGGGAAGGGGGTTTTGCCAGGGAATTGGTGTCATGGAGGAGCTCCCCGCGCTGGGGCTGGGACACAGGAGAGCCTTGGTGCGGGGGAAGAGGGTGGCACAGGTTCTGCAGCCTGATTCCAGCAGCGCTGGTGGGGACCCTCTCACTTGCGGGACTTGGGGTGCCCCAGGAGCCGCGGAATCAGGGCAGGCTCCCAGCTCTGTCCATGGAATCAGAGCGGGCTCCCGGCTCTGTCCATGGAATCACGACAGGCTCCTGCCTCCGTCCACACTTGGGGGATCAGGGGGCTGCGAGGGGTCCTGGGTCCCTGCCCGCGGGATCCACCTGGGCACTAATTGACAGCCGATATCGCAGTCAATCAATGACCGATTCACTTTCAAGGAGTTTTTTCCCCCTCGGATGCTGTCCGTCCCCACCGGGCACTTCTTTGCGGCCTCATTCCTCCTTCCCATCCCGTTGCCTCCCGGTGCAGCACCTCGGGTGGCATTCCCCTGCGCTCCCACGCCGCTAATTAGTGATTAATTACAGCGATAGCAGTGACGGCGGGGCGCTGCACACAGGCAGTACCGGGACAGGGGCGGGGACCGGGGATAACGGTGAGGCCGCGGGCAGCGCGGTGCGGAGAGCTCCCGGTAACTGGCGGGGACGGCTGCGGGTCCACCCGTGCCGGTACCGGCAGGGGGACGGGCAGGGGGCAGAGACACGTGTTGGGGCTCGGCGCCGCCCGGTGCCGCCCGGTGCCCGGCGCGCGGGGCGCACGCGCGGAGCGGCGGGCGGGGATCCCGGCCCCGCGTGCGCGTGACGTCGCCGCGTCTCGCGCCGCTCCGGGCCGGCGGCGGCCCCGGTGAGTGCGGGGGGGGGGGCACCGGGGGGAGCGACCCGGTCCGGGAACCGCATGTGCCCCCGCCGCTTGTGCCCACAGCCGCGCCGGCTGGCAGGTGACAGCGGGCGGGCGGTGCCCGGGACCGGCGGGCGCTGCCTGGTAGCGGCTCCGGGCTCGGTGGGCGGCGCGGGCGAAGCCAACGGGGCGCGGAGCGGCGGGGGATGCTCGGTGCGCAGTGCGGGGCGTGCGCGGTGCGCGGTACGGGGGACACCGGGCGGGGATGCGTGATCGGAGCGGTGCGGGGTGTGCGGTGCTGGGGACAGAGCGGTGCGGGGTGTGCGGTGCTGGGGACACACAGTGGTGCTCGGTCCTCGGTGTTCGGTGCAGAGTGCTCAGAGCAGTGCTGGATGCCCAGTGCAGGATGCTCGGTGCGGGATGCCCAGTGCAGGATGCTCGGTGCTGAGTGCCCAGGACAGGATGCTCGGTGCTGGGTGCCCAGGACAGGATGCTCGGTGCAGGATGCTCAGTATAGGATGCTCGGTGCGTGATGCCCAGGACAGGATGCTCGGTGCTGGGTACCCAGGACAGGATGCTCGGTGCGGGGTGCTCAGCGCAGGTCGCTCAGTTCTCAGTTCAGACCGTGGTGCTGGGTGCAGGATGCTCAGCACAGTGCAGAGTTGCTGAGGTGCCCACAGGGTGCTCAGTGCACAGAACACAGTGCAGGATGCACAGCAGGTGGGACAGGGTGCTCAGTGCAGGGTTTTCTTCGTACCTTTGTCCTCTCATTCTGCTCTTTGGCACACGGTGCCCTCTCCCCCCTCCCATGGCACCCCTCTGGCAGCCCAGCACCAAGCTGTGCCCCCATAAGCTGAGCACTGCCATACTCAGAGGCACCCATGGGCTGAGGCTGTCTGTCTGTCCAGGTGTCCAGAGCTCGGCCAGGGTTGGGACTGCCCTTCTATAACAGGATTAGCATGGTGGGCACCCACTGGGCAGGGTGGGTGCCTAGTGAGAGGCTGCACCTGCGGTTCTTGGGCAGCATCAGCCTCTGCTGAGGCTTGAGAGGTGTTGGCAGCACCGAGGTTGGGGTGGCTGTGGGATGTGAGTCCCTTGGCAGGGGTGCAGATGGACTCCTGAGCAGCTGTGTTGGCACCTTGCAGCCCACACAAAGCACTGGCACTCTCCTGGCAGTGCCCATCTGTTACTGTGCCCTGTGTGGCAGGGATGTGACATCCACTTTGTCCAGCTCAAGTTCCTTGGGACTCGTGGCTGGAGTTGCTGGCACTGGGGCCAGCAGCGTGAGCTGGGCTGCCCTCCTGGGCAGGCAGGGGATGGTTTGCATCACAGAGGCCTTTGCTCTGTCCCTCTCTGTGTTTATTTGTGTGCTCAGGCTCTGTCCAAAAGTCATCTCACAGCTTGAAATCCCTTCAGACGCCTCCCTGTGCCAGGCCCTGCTGGCTGCTTGGACTCGGTTTCAGAGGAGAGTCCCCCCTCAGCACAGCCGTGCTGCTCCCTCCTGCTCAGGCACCGAGCAACGGTGAGTGGGGACATCCCAATGATTGGTGCCAACAGGTTTCCAGATTTGCCGTGTACTTTGTGGGGATGCTGCAGGCTGCTCGTGGGGAGCTGTCAAGTGCCAGCGCGGGCGCCTACGAGCGGGGTTTGCCATCACATGCCAGCGGCAGCTGGTGCCCCGAGGCTGCTGCATGTGGCACCACAGGAGCAGCTGTGCTGCAGAGCCCGAGGGGAGCCCAGGGTCTGTGTGGAGTCAGCCTGGAATTTGGGGGACAGCAGCTGAACTGGGCACTGTGTGAGTCCTCCCCAGCATCGCCCACAGCAGCTGGCACTGGGGGGCTTCACTGTGGGGGGATGTGGCAGGCTGAGGCCTGGGGTCTCTGCAGGATGCTGGTGGGCTCACCAGCATGGTCAGGCTCATGCCACTGCTGTCCTCTGCCTTTTTACAAACGGTATTAGTAATTTCTGTGGCTATTTTAAGGAGATTTTTCCAAAGGCAGTTTGCATTCCGGGTACGCTGAGCCTTTGGGGATGTGTGGGATGGCAGGAGCGCTGTTAAAATGCGGGGACTGTCAAGAAGATTTTTGGAGAGAGAAAACAAACCCCCAGCAGGTGGTTTTATTTGGCACCGTGCAGATGTGCCTTGTGATGAATTTGTGATGCCTTGAGGAGCCTCAGCCTCATGCCTTGGCTGAGCACGTTTCTCTCCAGATTCCACAGGCAGCGGGCACACAGAACCAGGGAGAAGCTTGCCCTGGTGTTGGCTGCCTGCTTTGGTTCACTCTGTTTTCCAAGCCCTGTCTGCCTCCAGAATTCCTGCAAGAATTCTCTCAAAGGTTCCCCTTCTCAAGGTAAATGATGCCTTTTTTCCCCCCGTTTGGTCCCCAGTCCGTGCTGTGGTGCCTCACAGTGTGGCAGGAGGGTGACCCTGCCACAGGAGCCCCTTGTCCCCTCCCAGGAACATCAAACACGAGCAGCAGCGGGGGTTGCTCAACACGCAGCATTCGGAAGTGAAGCAAGCAGCTGCTTCCCACTGTGCATTCCTAGGCAGTGACCCCAGAGTGAGACTGAGGGCTCTGAAGGGGCTGAAGCATGCAGGTGCTTCTCCACGGAGGAATGGCCACGGGCATGTTGGCTCTGGAGCCTCAGGCTGCTGTGCTGGGGCAGGGGAAGCTTTTCCAGCACTCCTGTTCCTGCTCGGTGCTGGGAGGGATCCTGTGGTGTGAGCAGCTGTCGCCAGCAGTGGCTGAGCTGCAATGGGGGTGAGATAACAGCCACCCCCCTCGGGCAGCTGTGCTCACAGCTGGCTGTGAGCCAGCGTGGCCGGGTGGCACTCAGGGCATGGGCACAGGCCTTGGTGGCCCAGTGTTTTGCAGATGCAATGGCAGCAGAGGAGGAGCAGGGCTCCAGCTGGGCTGGTGCAGACAGGAAGGAGCTCAGATGTGCTGTTCTGGGTGCTTTGGCTGATGAGGCAGCAGCAGCGCAGGCTCAGAAGGCGCCGGTTCCGTTTCTTCCACCAGTGGTTTCACAAGGGCTTCACCCGTGCCAGGGCCTGGGAGTGGTCACTGCCCGTCCTCGCTGGGGTGGGAGTGGGAGGCCACAAACACACATGACGGAAGTGGGTGCTGGTGCTTCCCAAAGTTTCTGGCTTTGTGGAGATGCCAAATGTTTGCCTTTATGGCATCCATTGTGCTGAGCATGGCTGGGCACTGCTGGAGATCCTGGGGCTGGTCTGTGTTTGGGTCTGTGCTCCTGAGGGAGCTGCAGGAAACAGGACAAGAATGAGCAGAGGAGCTGGGGAAGATGGGGAGCAGTGTCCCCTGTCCCCTCCCTGCCTGCAGGGTGAGCAATGGCACCTCCATCCTTGCTGCCCTGCCCTGCCCTGCCCTGCCCTGCCCTGCCCTGCCCTCAGGCAGTGCTTCCAGGGCTGCTGCTGCTGCATGGGGAAATAAAACACTTTGATTTTTGTTTCTTAAGCAAATTTGAGGTTTTGGGGTTTGTCTTGCAGAAACAATTTTTTATTTGCAGATCCTGATCTTTGTGCATGCAAGAATGGAGCTTGTTGAGACTTAGGGTTTGGCGTGTGGATTGGGAAAATATTTTTTGAAGATACTTGGTGTTTTTTCTAGCAGTTCCTCTGACTTCTCTTCCTCCCTGTTGTATGGCAGGCTCTGACCACCCACATGCCTGCAAGGGAATATTTGTGCAGTTTTGTGAGGGAAGAGCTGTGTTTGCATGAAGTGTGATGAGTGAACAGGGGGGCTGCAACCCTCAACACCCCTTGCCCAGTGCCCCTCTCCCATGTGGATCCCCAGGACATACCCTGGACAAGGGCTGAGAGTTGGAGGGATCTGATCAAAGACATGGAGAGGAATCATAGAATCATGGAATGGTTTGGGTTGGAAGGGATCTTAAAGATATTCTAGTTCCACCCCCTTCTGCAGGCAGTGACACCTTCCACTAGACCAGGTTGCTCAGAGCTCCATCCAGCCTGGCCTTGGACACCTCAGGGATGGAGCAACCACAGCTTCTCTGGGCAAGAGGAGCTGGGGGAGAGCTCAGTGCTTTCCCAGAGCTCCTTCCTCCAGCAGGGCAGTGGAGTCACTGGTCAGGGCACAAGGGGAGCCAACGTGGCAGTGTCACTGTCAGTGGACCTGTGCTGGCTTTGCCTTTGTCCCCCTGAGGCAACAACTGCAGAATAATTAAGGAAAGGTGAAGCTCTGTGGGTTAATTAAAAGTCAAGAGCTCCCTCTGAAGTGCAGAACTCGTGTCCTATTTCAGCACAAGCGTGTCTGACGTGCCTGAGCCTTTCTGCGGTGCAGGCACACGGTGCCAGGTGCTGGGCAGTGGGCAGGTGCCTCCATCCCTGTGTCCTGCCAGCAGCTTCCCCCTTGGGCATTCCATAATCATGGGCATTCCATAATCATGGGCATTCCATAATTAATCTGCCACTCTGAGCTGAAGGCTGTGTCCCTGCAAGGCTGGCAGGGTGAGTACTGAGGTTTCCATCTCCTGATGATAAAATGCTGTCGCCCTGCTTGGAACGAGGGATGGGCGGAGGGGAGTTACTGTAAATTGGTGGGATTTTTATTGTTTGAGGAACACTGTACCACTGAGCAGGATAATAAAATGTTTTGCTAATCGTAACAGCCTTGAGGCGATAAACCAGCAGTCTGTTTGTGCTGTGAAATGTCTGTGGATCCTTTGCTGATGTGATTTAGAGCCTGTTGGAGCTGGCTGGCACACAGTGCCCCATCCCTGGCTGGCTCTTTGGGATGCTCAGCTGGAATGATTGGTGTGGCTCAGGGCTTTCACCTTGCAGGCTTTTCTGAGCCAGAAAGTTTTGAAACTAGCACACACTGCCTTAATCTTCAGGCCAGCAGGTTCTGCTGGTTTATTTTTCTCGGTACTCAGCAGTGAGAATAAATTCCCCTTTGTCCCCTGAGCCTGTTGGGTGCTAAGATGCAGCTGGAGCAGCCTCTGTGTGGTTTGGGTGCTGAGGTGGCTGCTTGAACACTCATCCCTGAACTCTTTTGACTGTTATTTTTCCCTGGGATGATGGCAGTGCTGCAAGTGTAAACCACAGGGCTGTCAGTGCTGTTTGGGGATTTTCCAAGGGACACAGAACTCCAAAGTGCTCCAGACCCAGGTGTTTTTGTTGGGATTGATTGTGTTTTCACTGGAATTGGCCTCTGTTCCAGTGGATGCCCTGGGTTCATGACCTGCAGTGCAGCTTCAGTTTTAGTCACCAAACCAGTCCTGCTCTCAGTGGTGCTGTTCTTGCCACGTGGTGGCTGACAGCAGCTTCTTTTTGTTGTGGGATTTTGTTTTGAGTGCTGCAGCAGTTTAATTTTCATATCTTCCCTCCAAGGCTTAGAGCCTTGGCACACCTGCAGCAGAGATGGGTACAGAGCCCCTGTCCCACCACTGGGGTGGGTGGGTTGGACTCTGTTCCCACTGTCCCATGGGATCAATCCCGGTCTGGGCAGTGCTAGGGTGGAGGAGCAAGAGCTGTGGGTTGTGCAACAGGGCTGACGCTGCACTCAGTGACCACAGCCACCCCTGTGGTGCCTCTGTGTGCTCCTGGTGGAGACTGGGGCTGGCCCCATGCTCCATGCCCCGTGCCCCATGCTCACTGCATTCCAGTCCTGCTAAGAGAGATACTTGGGAAATGTTTGGAAATTGCCAGCAGGAGCATCAAGGAGGAGCAAAGCTCTCATCAGCAGTGTCAGCATTGGACTGAGCTCAGGTTGGGATGAAGCAGCAGCCCTCAGGCAAGCTGTGTTTATTTTTGTAAATGAACTGGAGACTATCAATTCAGTAATTAAATATTGCTGATTTGTAAAGATGTGAGCTGGATATGTTGGGACATTTCTTGCTGACCACAGTTTCTGCTGCTGTTCCGCCACAGGGGCGTCTGCAGATCCTCATCCTTTTATTAAGCACCAACAAATTGAGCTCAAATTTTCCAGGCCACACCTACATCTTTTGGGGAGGCTGCCCTTAATGACACTCATTTCTGGGAATGGTTTAAAGAAAAATGCAGCTTTGGATCATATGGGGCGTCTCATAGAAACTGTTTCTGTAGTTGTTTGTAACACTTTAGCAAATGGTGTTTCCTCCCTGCTGAGGGTGCTGTGCTGGCTCTGGGGCTGCTCCGGGGGTGGTTTTTACCCGTTCCCAGTGCAGGTGCCAAGGTCAGGGGTTTGACTCAGGGGTTTTGGTTGGGTTTCGGTCAGAGCTGCAGTTGGAGCCCAGCTGGTGGTGACGCCCTGCACAGCATCAGGAAGGAAGTCACAAACAAGTGCGTCTGTGTGTCTGTCCGTGTGTCTGTGCCTGGGCAGGATCTGGAGCTGTTTCCGGAGCAGGGTGAGTCAGGTAGGCTGTTGGACCACCTCTGTCCCTGCACCTCAGCACTCAGGGCACTGCAGAAGCACATCCAGGGATGCAGCTGCTGCTCCGTGGAGCTGCAGCCTGGTCTGGAGCTGGAATCCTGTAGTCCATGGAGGCCAGGCTGAGCAGGAAGCCTCGCAGGGAAGCGCCTGCACTGCGGATAAGCCCTTGTAGAGTTCCTGCTGGGTGGAGTTTCCCTCTGGTTTCTCTTTAGTGCTGAGGCGGAGGGGCCGGTGACACTCGATGGCACGAGAGGAGACTGGAATAGCCATTAGTGTCACTCCTGGAAATGTTCTCAGGAACATCCTGCAAGGCCAGGACTGCTGCACAGCCAGGGGGAGCTGACTGGGAATGTCCCAGCAGCAGTGACCCCAAGATGTCCATGCTGTGATCCTGGGAGCAGAGTCACATCTGGTGATCCGCCAGCTCCTGGCCCCTCAGGGTGCTCTGCTGCAGCTCCGTGTCCCAGACTGTCCCCAGGATGCTCTGTGTTTGCAGGATGGCTCCAGCCAAGGCTGCTGTGCTCCCTGGCATGGAGCAGTCCTTGTGGGAAAGCCAGTGACCAGAGGTTTGGTTCCCAACCTGGTGGGATTTCCATGTTGTGCAGGGCTAATGCTACTGCCTTGGCAGGTGGTGAGGCTGGTGAGAGCTTTGTTCTTGGGGCTGGAGCCAGGAGGTCCTGCCAGGCCTGCAGGTCCTCTGGGCTCTGTCTCCTTCCACTGTCACTGATTTGGGGGCTCTGGTCATAGTCTGACCTGTGCCTGATTTCAGCATTTGCAGCAGGCGAGTCTGGAGCTGCTTCCTCTGGTCAAGGCTGTTGTGCTGGCCAGTGTGTGCTGGAATTGTGCCCAGCTGGATTGTCATCCCCTGGGCTTTAAACATCCAGGCTGCTAGGGTCCCCCTGAGGCCTCTTTCCTTTCCAGCAGGCTGCATTTCCTAAAAGAGCAGCAGCCCTGCTGCTTCCCCCTGTGTGTCCTGGCTTGGCTGTGCTCTGTGAACAGCGCTGGTGTGTCAGGGCAGGTGTGCCAAGTCCAGCTGCCAGCGCTGCCATGAGCTGGGGCCACCAGCTCCAGCAGGAACACCTTTCCCTGGGGCTCAGGGGAGGCTGTGGGGAGGAGGGGAAGGTGCTGAGGAGGGGAGTGGATGTGTGTGCTAAATAAACAAATCAACACTGTGGCTTCTCTTCCCCATCAGGTGTTCTGGTGGCCATGGGTTCAGCATGAAGCTCAACTAGAAGCACCATGACCGTACGGGGAAAAGGTAAGAGCAAGCTGCTGGATGTGTGATTCCCCTGGGAGGCTGGGTGGCTGCTGCACATGTGTCTCATGATGCTGCACATCTGTCCACACCACCACTGGTACCACATTGATCCTGTGCTGCTTTCACAAGCTGGCACGACACAGTGTCAGCCTTCTTCATGCTCAAGTCCCATCAGCATGGGAATACAGAAGACTTGCTGCCTGCAGGAGCTCTTGTCACTGCCATCACATCCCCACTGGTCCCCATTCTCCCCCACACTCTGGGTGCCAGCCTTACAAGCTGATTTAGTGCTCTGCTTAGGGTTAGGGTTACACCTAGGGTTAGGGTTGTCAAAACCACAAAGCCCCAAGCTCCAGGCACACTGCAGCTGCAAAAGGCATCCCAAGGGGAACACAAAACTGCCACAACATGGCTTCCTCCACAGCTTCTTCTTTGGAACCAGCCTTACCCCCCTGATGCTGGCCAGGTACATGCCCCTGCCCCTGTGTGACATCCCTGTGTCCAAGCTGTACTCAGGGGTTTCAGCCCTGGATTGCTGCAGCTGCTTTGCTTTCTGCTCCCATGTCACCATTCCCTGCCAGAGTAGCCTCTGAGAGCTCCCTAATCCTGCTCAAGTGGGAAGCTCTCAGAGCCAGCTTGGGCATTTGAAAGGGTGTTGTCTCTGGAACCTAATTGCACCCTGATTCCAGCACAATGTCTGCTGGGGAGGAAATGACCCATCCATCTTCCCTCACAGACTAATGAGGCCCATAAATTTTAGGAAGTTCTCAGTGGAGAATCTCACAAAAGACCTGAGAACCAGCTCTGTCTCATTGTGCCATCTACACATCTGTATTTGCCTTGAAGTTTCACCTTGTCTCAAATGAAGTCTTTCTCTTGGGAGTATATAGCCTGTAACAGTGCACTTTATTAGCTTCAAAAAGAGTTTCAAAAAGAAACCTCAGGATTTAAGCACTCATTGATGTTCTGTTGCAACATTTATTTAAACAGGCATTTTGGCTAAGATGGCCTAAACAGACAGGGAACAAATCCTATGGTTAAGTCTATGACAACAACAAAAACAAAATTCTGTCCCAGATCACAGCAAGAGCTCCGAGCAGCGTTTCTGCCTTACATGGGAGTGTTTTAATTATGCTGGAAATTAAAATTCTATTAACTGCTGGTTTTATTCGAACAGCAGCCCTTTATCACATCTGGGCACTGTTCAGTGAAGAGCTTACTGTAAGAACAAGGGAACAAAAGCAGAGGAAAAGCAGAAAATTGAAGTCCAGCACAAGTCACTGACCCAAGAGTGTCATGACCAGCAGTGAACACAAACTTTCTGGGGCACCACTGCGCTGCCTTAGACAGCAAAGAACTCCCCCAGGCACTAGGTAGATAGATAACAACTAGCACACTCTACCACCTGCCTGGGCAGCCCCTCCCAAGGCCTGAAGTCTCTCTCCATGAGGAAATTCCCCCTGATGTCCAACCTGAACCTCCCCTGGCACAGCTGGCAGCCCCATGGAACACAATATGAGAGTCCCTTTGTTCCCTCTGGAGCTGCTGGAGCATCTCGATGGGAACTGCTCCCTGTCAGCTGCTTCTCCTGGAGAACAGAGCACTTCTGTGCTCCAGCCTCCTTTCATGGTGCAGCCTTTGCTGCTAATTAGCCTGTCTTGGTCTGCACTGCCCTAATTATTCCAGTTGGCCCTAAATCCTGCCTGCTCCTCTGCCATCCATTGAAATGGGTCTTGTGGCATTTGCAATTATTTTGGGGTGAATATTTGAATATATTTACATGACAGAAACAGATGAAGAGAGCAGGAAGGAGCAGCACTTGTCTTGTTAATGGCCCTGACTCTGCTTGGTGCTGCAAAAATGCCAGAGCTGTTGGATGTCCCTCTGATCTACATCCCAACAAATCCACCCACTTTATCTCATGCCTGGGGATGCAGTTGAGGCTGTTTAGCTTCAGGTATCTTACCAAGCAGCTGGTCAGGGTGGACCAGGGAGTAAAGAACCACAAAAATACTTTTGGTGGTGATGTTGCTGTGCTGCTGGGTTGTGGGAGGGCATCCCTGGGCTGGCAGAGAGGCGCTGCCTGGGCAGGAGTGCATACAAGCCAGTGGGTGGAGTCCAGGATGGTGAGTGGGATGTCAGGGACTGGAAGTGGGGAGCAGAGGAGTCCCTGAGTGCCTGGCAGGAGGAGCAGGAAAGCTGCCCAGCTCCAGGCTCTCTCCTGCCTGCTCCCTGCTCCGTATGGGCTGCTGCACAATGTATTCCTTCTCTGTGGGGGGAAACTCTTTTCTGGAGCAGCTCTTTGGCCTGTCAGCAAAACAGAATCCATGGACGGCCCGTTCCTTCCACTCCATTCAGCTCCTGCCCCAGCCACATAATCACAAAGAACTGGAAATCCCGGGGTGAGCCCAGGGGAAGATTGCAAAACCTGCACTCGCAACTGGGGCGGACGGGGGGGAGGGAGCGGGAAGCGGTGCCAGCATTCCCGGGAGTCCCTCCGGGCACGCAGCTGAGCTGGGCACTTGCAGAGGCTGCAGCCTTCCTGCTGGATGTCCTGCCGAGCCGTGCAAAACCCCGAAAAGTCTCGGTGCCAGATGAAGTTTCACGGATTTCTCTGTCAGGTCAGTTGCCGAGGCAGGGCAGGGTGGTGAACGCTGCGTGTGGCTGTTCACTCTCAGATGGTTGAACCTCTCAGTGTTTCATTCTAACGGTTTCTCCTGACTCAGACCCTTAAAGCTGGCATGAGAGGCTTTTGTTTTTCTCTTATTTCAGCTTCCCCCTCCTCTGTGACTGCAGGGTTAAGCTAAACAAAATGTAGGGAGGATGCAGGTGGCTGGGAGGTGAGCAGTGCTGGAGTGCTGACTTGGGTTTGGGAGGAATAACCTCAGCTTGGGTCTTGGCTTTATCTGGATGGAGCAGGCTCTCTGTAAAGATTTTTGTCTCTGAATGTACAGTGCCCCTCCTCTCCAAAACGTTCCTGGAGCTTTGCTCCAGCTGTAAACCTGTGTTTCTGGGAGCACAATGCAGAAATTCTCTCTTTGGGTGTGCACTGAGGCAGACTTTAATTACCTGCTGGGTGTAGGGCACCAAGCCTGGGAGGTGCTGATAAATGAAATGAGGTGCTGATAAGTGAAGGAGGTGATGAAATCTGGGATGGTGTCACCATCCCATGGCTGCTCTGACAGCGCTGTTCTCTTGCAGATGCCCGTGGGGTTGGACACTCGCTAGCAGAGAGCTGAAGCCCCCAGCCTGTGCCCAGGAGAGCAGGATGCGGGTCACCACGCGCAGGGTGCTGCTGCTGCTGGGCTCGGTGGTGGCCTTGATGGTGACCCTGCACCTCGGGCAGCAGGTCCTGGAGTGCCAGCAGGTCCTGAGCGAGAGGAGGCACAGGCTGATGAGGCCGGAGAACGAGGAGCTGGTGATGGTGGACGCCAACCACGTGGAGTACCGCTACAGCAAGGACATGCCCCTGATCTTCATCGGCGGCGTCCCCCGCAGCGGCACCACGCTGATGAGGGCCATGCTGGACGCGCACCCCGAGGTGCGCTGCGGGGAGGAGACCCGCATCATCCCCCGCGTGCTGGCCATGCGCCAGGCCTGGTCCAAGTCCGGCCGCGAGAAGATGCGGCTGGACGAGGCGGGGGTGACGGACCAGGTGCTGGACGCGGCCATGCAGGCCTTCATCCTGGAAGTGATCGCCAAGCACGGCGAGCCCGCCAGGTACCTGTGCAACAAGGACCCCTTCACGCTGAAATCCTCCGTGTACCTGTCCCGGCTGTTCCCCAACTCCAAGTTCCTGCTGATGGTGCGGGACGGGCGCGCCTCGGTGCACTCGATGATCACGCGCAAGGTGACCATCGCCGGCTTCGACCTGAACAGCTACCGGGACTGCCTGACCAAGTGGAACAAGGCCATCGAGGTGATGTACTCCCAGTGCCTGGAGATCGGCCGCGCCCGCTGCCTGCCCGTCTACTACGAGCAGCTGGTGCTGCACCCCGAGCAGTCCATGCAGAACATCATGAGGTTCCTGGACATCTCCTGGAGCGACACGGTGCTGCACCACGAGGAGCTCATCGGGAAGCCCGGTGGGGTGTCCCTTTCCAAGTGAGTCTCGGCTCTTTCCTCAGCTTTTCGTTGCACAAAGCAGGGTAAAATAGGACAGAGCCCCGTTGTTGGTGTTTGTGTGTGATTTTGACAGCACATTGTACTGCAGTGGGGTTTGTGTTCCTGAGTAAGAGATGGCTTTAATGCTCCCAATCTGTTGTACTCCACAGAACAGCTTGTCAAGCAAGGATTTCAGGAGCAGGTGACTGTTTAATCTCTCTTGACACTGCAGAAATTATTTCAGTCTCTAATTTGCAAAGAACTGCTTGCTCTGAAACGTGAGCTCTTTAATGTCTCTTTCTCCACCCGTCCTCAGATGGCTCCTTGGTGTGATTAGTTGTGCTGCTAATGATGATGAGCTGCAGTTCTTGCCAGGTCTGGGGTTGGTATTGCAGAATAAAAGCAATACCTGCCCAGTGGAGGCACACCCAGCACTCCCTCCTGCCCTTTCCATGTGTAGGGGGTGTTTGCCTTCTCCCACTTTCTCTTCCTCTTTTAATGCTTTTTCTTTTCTAAATGGAGGCTTAAGTCAGGCTTAGCAAAATTTAATCAGCCGTGTAAGGGAATTATCCAAGTCTCTGTATCAGTTGATGGTGCCTGGTGGTGAGGGCACAGGAGCCACGGGGGGATGTGCAGCTGCTCCAGTTTTCCAGGATGCCCTGGGAGTGCAGCCAGCTTTACTTCCCTGTTTGCTCAGAGTAAATTGGTCCAGGTTGCTTAGATCAGGTTTTGAATATTCATAGGGGTCACCAGGTGTATCTGTGCTACAGCCCACACATCTTATATTGTTTTTCCCTGATAAGCAAAGGTGTCAAGGTGAAACCCTCCATCCCAGTGAAGGATAGATCCCTCCTGTAAGAAAAGAGGAAGCAGCCTCAAGTTGTGCCAGAGGAAGTTTGGGTTGGATAAAAAGGGAAATTCCTTCCCTGAAAGGCTAATTAAGCATTAGAACAGAATGGTGGTAGAGTCATCATTCCTGAAGGAATTTAAAAGCTGTGTGGATGTGGCACCTGGGGACATGGGTCAGTGGTGGCCTTAGGAATGCTGGGGGAATGGCTGGACTCATTTGTCTTAGAGGGTTTTTCCAGCCTCAGTGATTCCATGATTGTAAACAGAAGGATCCAGCCTCCGGGGCTGTGGAACCCCTTGCCAGGGTCTGCTTCCCCAGAGCAGGGCTGTGAGGGACAGAAACTGTGGCTACCCCACCCAAGGAAGTGCCCAAGGCCAGGTGGGACAGGATTTGAACAACCTGGGATAGTGGAAGGTGTCCCTGCCCATGGCAGGGAGTGGAACAGGATGGGATTTAAGATGGATTTAAGATCCTGTCCTGTGGTTCTTTGTGGAGGTGGCTGTGAGCTGTGTGTGAGCCCAGCACATGCATGAAATCCAGCCATTGTGTGTTTTGTTTTTTTCCTTTATTTTCCCCAGGATAGAGAGGTCAACAGACCAGGTGATCAAGCCGGTGAACATGGAGGCGTTATCCAAATGGATCGGGCACATCCCGGGGGATGTGCTGCAGGACATGGCCCACATCGCCCCCATGCTGGCCAGGCTGGGCTACGACCCCTACGCCAATCCCCCCAACTACGGCCACCCCGACCCCCTGGTTGTCAACAACACACACAGGGTGAGTGGCACTGCCGTGCAGGGGACAGGCCAGGGGCTCACCGAGCCCTCCGGAGCAAGGGAAGCTCCTGAGCCAGGTTGGGAAGCAAGGGAAGCTCACCGAGCCCTCCGGAGCAAGGGAAGCTCCTGAGCCAGGTTGGGAAGCAAGGGAAGCTCACCGAGCCCTCTGGAGTAAGGGAAGCTCCTGGGCTGGGTTGGGAAGCAAGGGAAGCTCACCGAGCCCTCTGGAGCAAGGGAAGCTCCTGAGCCAGGTTGGGATGGAACAGAGGGGAGCAGATTCACACAGGAAAAACAGAATCACAGAATCACAGAATTCCAGAGTCATTCAGGTTGGGAAAGGTCTCCCAGAACCATCAAGTCCTCCCCACCAGAGCACTGAGTGCCACATGGAGCATGTTCCTTGGACACCTCCAAGGATGGGGACTCCAAACCTCCCTTCCAGTCCCTGACCACCCTTTCCATGAGGAAATTCCTCCTCGTGTCCAACCTGAGCCTCCCCTGGCACAGTTTGAGGCAGTTTCCTCTCCTCCTGTCCCTGTTCCCTGGGAGCAGAGCCTGACCCCTCCCAGGCTGTCCCCTCCTGTCAGGAGTTGTGCAGAGCCACAAGGTCCCCCCTGAGCCTCCTTTTCCCCAGGCTGAGCCCCTTCCCAGCTCCCTCAGCTGCTCCAGCCCCTTCCCCAGCTTTGTTCCCTTCTCTGGACACGCTCCAGCCCCTCCGTGTCTGTTTTGGAGGGAGCAGGACAGAGCACTCAAGGTGCAGCCTTTTCCCTGGGAAGGCTGGGAATGGGTAACAGCAGTGACCCAGAGGTGATTCCACTGTCCCAGGGGGTCACTCCAGGTTCTCTTTCCCGCAGGTTTTAAAGGGGGATTATAAAACACCGGCCAATCTCAAAGGTCACCTGCAGGTAAGAGCACCCTGAGGGTTTGGGACACACCAGGGTACCTGGTTGCTGCTGCCTTCCCTGGGGAATGCTGGCTCAGAGCTGACCCTTCTCTTCTGGGGCTCTTCCAGGTGACTCAGAACACGTCATCTTCTCACTAAGAAAATTAATGATTTCCAGGTAAGACCCTGTGCAGTTAATTTTGGGATTTGGGCAAATCTGCCTGTGTCGCTCCAGGACCAGCACTTGGTTTGTGTGATTTCTGTGGATCAGCTGGGGTTCCCTCACAGAGATCCCTCACAGTCGCCTCAGGTCTTCCCACACAATGCTGCTGAGTGGGACCATTTGTAAGGAATTCTTTTCCTGAGCTCTGGGAACGGGATTAAAGCTGCAAAATGAAACTCAGCCGCCTGGGAGGGTTATTGCAGCCCGTCCCCGCGGGCAGCAGGGACACATGGAATGTGTGGATGAGCTGAGCTGCTCCCCAGCTGCCTCCAAAGACGTGCCATGGACCTGAGGAAGGGGATAGAAAACAAAGGAAAACATGATGGAAAACAAAGCTGCTGCCTTGGGCTGCTGCTCCAGAGACAACTGTTGATGTGTTGGATGTTCTTCCTCCATGCTAAAGCATAAAATACCATTCTTGGCACTAAAACTGATTCTTTAAGAGCAACTTTCTGTGTACAAGCAGATGGCTGGGCTAGAAAAAGATCAGAAGCACGGAGGGAAGATCAGGAATTGTGTGTTCCCTTGTCCTGGGCTGAGAATTCTTTTCTGGCCATTTTTTGTGTCTCAGGGGCTTTAAACTCTCAGTCAGGCCTTGCTGTGCTAGTCTGAGGGGATCCTGTTCCTGAGGGGATCCTGTTCTGGAGGGATCCTGTTCTTGAGGGGATCCTGTCCTGAGGGGATCCTGTTCCTAAGGGGATCCTGCCCCTGAGGGGACCCTGTCCTGAGGGGATCCTGTTCCTATGGGGATCCTGCCCCTGAGGGGATCCTGCTCCTGAGGAGATCCTGCTCCTGAAGAGTTCTGTTCCTTAGAGGATCGTCTTCCTGAGGGGATCCTGCCCCTGAGAGGATCCTGCTCCCAAGGGGATCTTGTTCCTGAGGGGATCCTCTTACCAGAGGAGATCCTTCCCTGAGGAGATTCTGCCCCTGAGGAAATCCTGGTCCTGAGGGGATCCTGCCCCTGAGGAGATCCTCTTCCCAAGGATATCCTTCCCTGAGGGGATCCTGCTCCTGAGGGGACCCTGCCCCTGAGGTTCTGTGTTTTGTCTCTTCCAGAACGCTGCCAATGGCCTGTTGTTGCCCGAGAAGGACGAAGTGTGCAGTGGGCCCGTGGAAATCTGTTCTCCAAGCATATTGCTTGCTCCTACTGTTGCCAAATGACTGCGCTCCAGGAATGTATTTGCATTTATTTGCAAAGGCCAAACGTGCTCCACGGCGGGAACATCCCCGGCCGGTCCCAGCGCTCTGTGGGGAATGCAGCTATGGAAACCCGGGCTGGGGTTGATGGACAGCAGGACATTACCTGTGCCGTGGCTGGAGGACTCCGTACATCGCGTTTATGTCTCGTGATCTGTTCCTCGTTCCCGGTGTGGGGAACAGCCCTCCCATCCCCGCTGTTCCGTATTCCTGGGATCGGGAAAGGCCATCCCGGTCTTGCTGTTCCCAACTCCCAGGGTCAGGAACTGCCCCCTGGCCCTGCAGAGCCTTTGTGGTGCGTGTGCCCTCCCCCCTACCCCATCCCCTACCCTGCAGAGGCTATTGCCGAGTTAATATATGCCCCCCTCCCCCCCCATCAACGGTGTCGGACACCATTAAAGTGTTGATTTGATATTTAATATTTTAATTATTAATCGCGCGGGCTCCGCCTCCTGTACACCGCCGGGCCACAAGGCGGCGCTACCGGCGCGGGCGCTCCGCTACTGGCGACTCTATGGTTTGGGGCGGGGCTTGCGCGCTGCGGAAGTGAATGGGGCGCATCCGCTGTGGCGGCGCGGCCGGGGCCGGTGCTGGGGTTCGTGAGCGGGGCCGAGGGTCCCAGGTCGGGAATTCCTGAGGAGGTTTGGGGTCCCGAGTCAGTAGTTCCTGAGGGGGTTTGGGGTCCCTGAGCGGGCCGGGGCATCGTGGCGTTGCCACCATGTCGATGTCGCACCTGTACGGCGCGGACGGAGACGATGGCGTGGAGATGGAGAGCTTCGAGGTGTCGGACTGGGACCTGCAGAACGAATTCAACCCGCACCGGCAGCGACACCGCCAGACCAAGGAGGAGGCGACCTACGGCGTGTGGGCCGAGCGCGACTCGGACGAGGAGCGGCCCAGCTTCGGAGGGAAGCGGTACGGCCGGGCTGGGACCCCCGGCCCGCTCAGGGACCCCTGGAGCTCCCCCGTTCCCTGGAGCTTCCCCTCGTTGCCTGAATCCTCCCTATTCCCTGGAGCTTCTCCTCGTTCCTTGGAGATTCCCCCCGTTCCCTGGATCTTCCCCGTTCCTTGGAGCTCCATCATTCCCTGGAGCTTCCCCCCGTTCCTTGGAGATTCCCCCCGTTCCCTGGATCTTCCCCGTTCCTTGGAGCTCCATCATTCCCTGGAGCTTCCCCCCGTTCCTTGGAGCTTCCCCTTGTTCCCTGGAGCTTCCCCCCGTTCCCTGGGCCTTTCCAGACTGTGAACACCCACCCGGGCTGCCCTCGGGACCCCTTCACCTGTAGAGATTTTCCCTGAGCTCACTCCCTGCAGCGCTGGAGGGAGGATGGCGATTGCCTGGCAAAAGCAGGGTTAAACAGCTCGACAGCCTTTAATATCGCATTTTTGGGGGGTGTAAGGCACGGCAGCCCCCAGGCTCCTGCAGGAATGAGCAGGATTCCCTCTCGTTTTGCAGCTCCAGGGATTACTCGGCCCCCGTGAGCTTTGTGAGCGCTGGGCTGAGGAAGGCGGCGGCCGAGGAGCTCTCGGATGAGGACTCGGATGATGATGAGAAGCCTGTGAAGCAGGAGGAGATTCCCAAGGAGTTTGTGCCCAAGAAGTTAAAGACAGTGAGTTCTCCAGGAAATTTACTGTTCTCTGGTTTGTGTTTATGAAATTCAGGCTGTGGTCGAGGGCAGTGAGGCTGTAATAGAGCACAAAAAAACGGAGGAATAATTAAACCAGAGACCCAAATGTGTCAGTAAGGGAAGTGTTTACTCTGGATTTTGTATCATTGATAAAACAAAAATCAGGATAATAAATCATTGGTACAACTGTACATTTATATAATAACTGTGTGTCCTTAGGAATCAGTCCTTTCATTTTTCTCAATATTCCCTTTGGTCAATGGAGGTTTAAAGGAGAGAATTCCTGTGGTTTCCTGCCTTTCAGAGACTTTATTTTTCTGCTTTCACAGAACAGACAAATCCAGGCATGTTATAGATTAAAACTCAAACTCTTATTTTCAATTAAAGCCTGAAAGAATCAGGAATCAGCTTCAGCTAAATCTGGTGGTGGACCCTGAGAACTGTCAGGTTGTCAGCCAGAGTTTTTCCAGGATTTTCCTTTCCCATCTGAGGAATTTCAGGGATCTCCACAGGTGCTTCATGGATGCACAAGCAAGGTCACAGTTAGCTGGACAGTTTGGGAAGAACCTTCTGACGGGAGTTTTGCACACTTTGGTTATTTGAAGCCTGTGTTTGTTTTTGACAGGGTGGAAATTTCAAGCCCAGCCAGAAAGGCTTCGTAGGAGGCTCCAAGTCCTTTGTGGATTTTGGCAGCTGGGAGAGACACACTAAAGGAATTGGGCAGAAGCTTCTCCAGAAGATGGGATATGTCCCTGGAAGGGGTCTGGGGAAGAATGCTCAAGGTACTGTCAGTGTGTTTGCTGGTTTTTATTATTAACTGGGGGTTTGGGGGAGAGGTTGGATTCCTTAAAGAAGTGCCAGGGAGGGTGTTGGTGCTGATCTGGTAACTCACAGGGAAAGCCTGGCTGTTCAGTGCTCTCCCAGCACACAAACTGCTCCTGCTGACCCCATTCCCATCCTGCCAGGAATCATCAACCCCATCGAGGCCAAGCAGAGGAAAGGCAAAGGTGCTGTGGGCGCTTACGGCTCCGAGAGGACCACGCAGTCCTTGCAGGACTTCCCTGTGGTGGACTCAGAAGAGGAAGCTGAGGAGGTATTTCTGGGGTTCTTGCTGTTTCCCTGCTGTGCTGTGTGTACACAACGCAGTTTTCTTAATTTGTTGTGTCAGAGAAAACTGTTTGGACTCATTGTAGATAAGAATCCAAACACAGAGCATGTTGATATCATTTAGGCAGATCTTCCTTGTCACTCTAATGTTCTTTGTTGTATTTCAGTAGCTTTGCTAGAATCCCTCTTTTGAGGAGTCCCCCACATAAATAGTCTTTGTCTTTTGTTTAAATAAAAGACCAGGAACATCCTGTTCGTTTAATCCATAGGGTGGGTCACTGGCCCACAGCATCCAAGCTGGCTTGGCAGGAGCTTTTCCACTTCCCGTTTATTTCCTGTACAAATTCCTCATTGATCTGATGGTTATTTTCCTGTAAAAAGAGGCAGATTTGGGATGTGACAAAGAGCAGCCACCACAACTCTGCTGTTTTTCTCCAGGAGTTTCAGAAGGAGCTCAGCCAGTGGCGGAAGGACCCAAACGGAGGCAAGAAAAAGCCCAAGTACAGCTACAAAACAGTGGAAGAGCTGAAAGCCAAGGGCAGGATCAGCAAGCAGCTTGCAGCCCCTCAGAAGGAGCTGTCTCAGGTCAAGGTGAGGTTGATAAGCCAAGATGTGACCCCTGAGGAACAGTTTGGGCCCTTTGGTGTCACCAGCACATTTTAGGCGGTGGTAACCTCAGTAAAGCCAGTCCTAGGAACTGCCTGTGCAGCCTCATGGAGCTCATCCCTGAACCATATAACAGCTCTGTGTCACCTGGATGTGGTGACAAATTAGATTAAATCACAGTGTGTGTAGGGGATTTATTGCAATTTAAGTTTAATTGTTTCACATTTGTCATAATCAACACTCACCCTCTTCTGAAAGCACAGTTGTCCTTTTTGGGATTGTTTGAACCATTTTCTACCTCAAAGGGACAGTAAGGGAACTCAATAATATGAATCTGATATTAAAATATCTTTATAAAATTATGGAAGTTTTAAGTGCAGTAACCAATGGCAAGATCACTGCTTGTAGAATCATTCAGTGAAACTGGGATGAGGTGAGGAGATTCTTCTGGCTCTGATTCCAGATTGGCTCTTATTTGTTCTGGCTCCTTGTGTCTGGAGAAGGCCATTGTGGAGGCAATCCTCTTGTTCTCATACAGTGTATGTTAGCAGCCTCCTGGAGTAATTAAGGTCCTTGAAAATCTCCAGGTTTCAATTTGGAGTCAGGGATTTTCTCATTTTTTGAAGCTGAGAGTTTTTTGTTAGAGAATTTGTTCCGTGTGCTGGCAGGTGATCGACATGACGGGCCGGGAGCAGAAGGTTTATTACAGCTACAGCCAGATCAGCCACAAGCACAACATCCCTGATGACAGCCCCCAGCAGCCCCTGGGCAAGGACTCCAAGCCCCAAGGCTTTGCCCTGCCCGAGCTGGAGCACAACCTGCAGCTGCTCATCGACATCACGGAGCAGGAGATCATCCAGAGCGACCGGCAGCTGCAGTACGAGAGGGACATGGTGGTCAACCTCAGCCACGAGATCCAGAAGATGGCTGAGGTGCTGTCCCACGAGGAGAAGGCCATCAGCAACCTCAGCAAGGTGCTGGACATGGTGGAGGAGTGTGAGAGGCGGATGCAGCCGGGCTGTGAGAACCCTCTGACCTTGGATGAGTGTGCAAAGATCTTTGAGACCCTGCAGGACAAGTACTACGAGGAGTACAGGATGTCAGACAGGGTGGACCTGGCAGTGGCCATAGTTTATCCTCTCATGAAGGAATACTTCAAGAACTGGGATCCCCTCAAGGTGTGTTTGAGTTATCTGCAGTTTTCACTTGATGGCTCCAGTCATCTTTGCTACCTTGTCCCAAATGTGGTTTAGTGGGAGGTGACCATGCCCATGGAAGGGAGTGGAATGAGATGAGGTTTAAGGTCCCTTCAAATCCAAACCAATCTGGGGTTCTGGGATTCTAAATTCCTGATCAGTCTGGAGAAAAAGATAAGAGACAAAATCAAACTGTACTGTCCCCGCTCTCAGACATTTGCTGGGTAAAAATTTAGGAGTTTGTAAGGTTAAAACCAATCTCTTTTATGAGTGTTGGGATGAAAAATTTGGTGAAAAACAAATCTCTAGCTGTTGTTTTTTAGCAGAAGCAGGAGAGGTTTGTCTGTCAGGTATCAGAGATGCACAGTCTGTTCTCAGTGCCATTTAGGCTGGGATAGAGTGTGGATCTCTCTGTACACCTGGAAAAGTTCAGACTGTCCTCTTCCTGCAGGTGTGTTAATACTGTAAGGTGGGATTTTCCTCTGGCAGGACTTTACTAAAAGTCATTTAAGAAATGACAGATGTGGCACTCACTGCTCTGCGCTGGTGACAAGGTGGGGAGGGGCACAGGTTGGGCTCAGTGGTTTGGGAGTTCTTTTCCAACTTTAATGATTGTGGGATTCTGGAATTAAGACTGCAAGCTCCTGGCTTGCCCTGAGAGGAGGTGAGAAGGCTGGCTGTGCTGAGCACACCCTCAGCCTGCTCTGTGCAGATCCCAGCTGGAATTAATGGGAAGGAATACAGACCGTTTGTGCCCTGTCATTCCCAGGACTGTACATACGGCACAGAGATCATAGCCAAGTGGAAGAGCCTTCTGGAAAACGATCAGCTGTTATCCCACAGTGGGCAGGACCTGTCAACAGATGCTTTCCACAGGTAAAGAACAAATGATTTGTACTTTGTGCAGCATCTTCCTGTGCTGCTTCCTCAGGGATGGAAAAGAGCAGGCACAAGGGAAATTTTCCTAAGGATTCCCTTGCTGGGCCTGTTAAAATCCAGTTTGCAGCTATAGAAAATAAGCATCTTTAACTAACTGCTCCCATTTATTTTATTTACGCCCAGGCTGTAGCTTTGAGCTTCACTTTGATTTATTTGGGGTTTCTTGGCAGACTGATGTGGGAGATCTGGATGCCATATGTCAGGAACATCGTGGCGCGGTGGCAGCCGAGGAACTGTGGATCCATGGTGGATTTCTTGGATAGCTGGGTGAACGTTGTCCCTGTGTGGATTCTGGATAACATTCTGGATCAGCTCATCTTCCCCAAGCTGCAGAAGGAGGTGAGAGAAGAGGGCAGGGAAGAGCAAAGGCACGCTCTGAACCAGTGTTTGAATTCCAGCTGGAACTCCCAAACACCAGTGTGCAGCCTCTGCCGATGGATTGAGGAGTTGGGGTTGCATCAGAGCTCTTTATGCTTCATAAAAACTTGCTGCTGGTGGCTGGATTGAGTTAATCTTTGCTGTTGTGCCCCAAGGTGGAGAGCTGGAACCCTCTGACAGACACGGTGCCCATCCACTCGTGGATCCACCCCTGGCTGCCGCTGATGCAGGCGCGCCTGGAGCCGCTGTACTCGCCCATCCGCAACAAGCTGGCCAACGCCCTGCAGAAGTGGCACCCCAGCGACTCCTCTGCCAAGCTCATCCTCCAGCCCTGGAAGGATGTGTTCACTCCTGGCTCCTGGGAGGCTTTCATGGTCAAGAACATCGTGCCTAAACTCGGTGAGACAATAGACAGTGCTGGCAGTGGCACCTTCCACCTTGCTAATATGTGGCTGCCAGTGTTACATCAGAGATTGTTGTTAGTGAGGTTAGACCAAGCTTGCCTCTGATTTTCTGCTACCAGTCCTGTGCAGAAGCAGAAAGATTAGAAAAATACAAGGAATTACTCCGGTTATTCTCTAGGTTTTCTGTCTTATTTTTTTATAAATCATCCATCTCCAGCTGGTAGGAATATCTGAGAGCTGTCAGGTAGGACCAGCCTGGAAGATGTTTCTCTGTTACTCTTGAATTCCTTGGTCTGTTCTAAAGTTTCACCAAGAGATTTGTGATGCAAAGAGGCTCAAAGGTTAAAAAATATTCAAGTGATTTTCATTTCTCAGTTCTGGCTGCAAATTGTAATCACTGGAAGTAGAAATGCACCATTTTGTGGCAGGATCAGCCAAAGATCCCCACTGTCCTTTAGGATAACAAAAAGGTGCTGCTCAGGTTCTGTGCATTGGTGGTAAAAGAGGTCAGGGCACTGATAAAACTGAGTGAGGCTCTTTTCTAACTCTCCTCTCCTTTCCCAGGAATGTGTCTGAATGAGCTCATCATCAACCCTCACCAGCAGCACATGGATGCTTTTTACTGGGTGATCGACTGGGAGGGGATGATTTCTGTCTCCAGCCTCGTTGGGCTGCTGGAGAAACACTTCTTCCCAAAATGGCTGCAGGTGAGACACTGAGGGCTGAGGAAAGAGGTTTGATTAACTGGGGAGTGTTTTAGTGATTCCTGTCCAGGAATTGCTACCCTGGTGCTGAGCTGGGCTGGTTCCCACTCACAGCTCAGTAGTCATTGCAACAGTTCCTCCTTTTACTGACAGTAATAAACCAAGTGGTAAATTATGCTAGGAGAGATTTAAGTTTGACATCAGGAGGAATTTCCTCATCAAAAGGGTCTTCAGGCACTGGAGGGGGCTTCCCAGGGAGATGGTGGTGTTCCCATCTCTGGAGGTGTCCAAGGAATGCCTGGATGTGGGACTCAGTGCTCTGGGCTAGTTGATAAGGGGGTGATTGGTCACACATTGGACTCAATACTTGTGGAGTCTTTTCCATGTTAAATGACTCTGGGATTCTGTGGCAGTGGGTCTTCTCCTGCACAGACATCCTTGTGCTGCCTTTGACCTGTCCCTTGCTCTGCAGGTGCTCTGCTCTTGGCTCAGTAACAGCCCCAACTACGAGGAGATCACCAAGTGGTACCTGGGCTGGAAGTCCATGTTCTCAGACCAGGTGCTGGCACATCCCTCCATCAAAGACAAGTTCAACGAAGCCCTTGACATCATGAACAGGGCTGTGTCCTCCAGCGTGGGTAGGTGGCTCGTGGGGGTGGCTCTGCTGCTCTGGGCTGGCAGCACTGGGAGGCTGATTGGGGCAGCATGGCAGGAACTCACATGAGTAAAAGTCAGTGGGCTCTGCCTTGCTCTGTCCTTAAAGAACAACTCTGCGGTGCTGCTCAATAGTTGTGGACTGCAATGAAGCAGATTTTTGGTGGCTTCCTGGGCCACTGAACAACTGATCCTCTTCTAGCCTTGCCCTGTCAGTCAGACATCATCCTTTAGGGCTTGACTTCTAAAGCTGTCATTATTGGGTATTTTTTTTCTTTATGGTGAGGTGACGGGAGCCAGCAGTTCTCTTCCACATGCTTCTCCCTACAACCTAAAAGTGATAGTTGGGAGTTACATGGTGTAAAAGAGAAGGGCGTGCCTGAGGGAGCAGCACCTGAAATCTGCCCTCTTTCCCAAACTGAGAGCTCCCTTTCTGAGCCCAAACTTGACCACCACACTCCCAATTCATGTCCTGGATGGAGGGGAGCAGCTCAGGATGGTTTTCTCCCCATTCTCTCCCCCAGGTGGGTACATGCAGCCGGGCGCGCGGGAGAACATCGCGTACCTGACGCACACGGAGCGGCGCAAGGACTTCCAGTACGAGGCCATGCAGGAGCGGCGCGAGGCTGAGAACATGGCCCAGCGCGGCATCGGCGCCGCCGCCGGCTCCGTGCCCATGAACTTCAAGGACCTCATCCAGACCAAGGCCGAGGAGCACAACATCGTCTTCATGCCCGTCATCGGCAAGAGGCACGAGGGCAAGCAGCTCTACACCTTCGGCAGGATCGTCATCTACATCGACAGGGGCGTGGTGTTCGTGCAAGGGGAGAAGACCTGGGTGCCCACCTCGCTGCAGAGCCTCATTGACATGGCCAAGTGAGGCCTGTGTGCAAGAGGAGACCACCTGGGTGCCCGCCTCGCTCCAGAACCTCATTGACATGGCCAAGTGAGGCCTTTGTGCAAAAGGAGAAGATCTGGGTGCCCACCTTGCTGCAGAGCATCATAGACATGGCCAAGTGAGGCCTCTGTGCAAGGAGACACCACCCTGGGTGCCCACCTTGCTGTAGAGCCTCATAAACATGGCCAAGTGAGGCCTTTGTGTAAAAGGAGATCTGGGTGCCCACCTCGCTGCAGTGCCTCATTGACATGGCCAAGTGAGGCCTCTGTGCAAAAGGGTCCCTCTTCACTGCAGAGTGCTCACCTCACTGCAGAGCCTCATTGAAATGGCCAAGTGAGGCCCTGCTGGGGACTGAGTCACCACCCAGGAACAGCCCCTGGGTAATCCTTAGAATAAAGTTCCAGGTTTGTAAATAGTGACATTGGAGCTGGATGCCAGGGTGCTTTTATTGGAAGAGCTGTTCAGGCAGCGGTAAGAGGGCGAAGGGCCAGATTTCCCGACCTGAGAAGCCAGGCTAAGGGAGAACAAGCAGTGCTGACATTTGTAATTGCCACCTGGGACAGGTTTACCAGCAGGTTAGGAGGGATCGCATTCTCTGCTCAGTGAGGGCTGGCCTAGCTGAGTCCCCTGAGTCTCTAGCTGTGACAGATGTCACAGCTTGTGCTGGCAGTGAGTTGCTGTCCCCACAACATCCCTCACACAGTGGGCACCTCTTTGCTGCACACAGCCAGGACCTGCCTCAACTCTCTCTGCTATGGGACTGCAGTGGTTAAGAGCACAAGGTGAGGGAAGAAACACTAAAGCTTTTTTTCCTGGAGGCATCAACCTGGTTGTTCTCAGGACTGATCAAGAGCTGATCTCAGCAGCACTGAGAGCTGGGAGCTTTTTCCAAGTGTGCACTGGGAATCAGACCCCAACACCTCCCAGTACAAACCCCTCTGATAATTTCCCCTTCCTGATGCTTTGCAATGTGTGTAGGACATGCAAAGGTGTTGAATTACGGAAGGGGAGGGAATCAGAGCAGTCACTGCAGTGTGAATGGCTCCCAAGGCAGGTTTTGGTGGAATCAGTTTGCCGGAGTTCAGTGAGCGTAAATCAAAGCTCAGCTTTACTTTTTTATTAAATAAAATACAAAAATGTCCCATCACCTCAGCATTCAGGTGCTGCCACTTTGGACAGAGCCTGATGCCACAGTTGCTACTTGAGCTCCATCTTAGCTGCACAGAAGCTTCCATGGGAAGAGATGTGGATCCCAGCCCTGCCACCACAGGGATGGTCAGGACTTGGCAGTAGCTTCCTCCCCCTTCCTGATGATCTCCAGGTCCTCACAATCTTGGTACATCGGCTCCTCCACGAAGTCCCAGACCTCAGGGGAGAGCTCCTGCAGTTTATCCAGGGGAAACCAGTGCACAGAGGTGTCATTGAAGGTGTCCAGGTAGCGTGGGTGACTGGGGAGTGCCACTTCCTCCACTCCTTTCAAGACCTAAAGATCATTTGGGGAAAAAGTTACAGACAATGCAGCAGCCCCTTCCTGCAGAGCTGAGCCAGTGAGGAGGAGAATGATGTTACATTACCCTCAGCCCCTGTGTGTAGGATGTTCTGCAGATGTTCAACAATCCTAAAGTGATTAGCTTTTATATTATAGTGTTCAGGAAAAAAGTTTTGAAAATAACCCCTCTCTTCTTTCCAATGACAATTAATTTCCTTTTTCATTAAAAGGTGTGTTGTCAACATGGAACAAAAATGTTAAACCGTTGCCTCACCTTTGCTATGTAAGAATAATCTCTCTCCAAGATTCTGGACAGCAATCTACAAAAACAGAAGATATCCACATTAGACACCACATTCCTGTGGATTTAGACAGGTTTTCTGCATGGGGCTAGGACAGAGGAGAGGGGAGAGGGCTCATGACTGAAAACTATGGCAGCAAAAATGCACAAAACAGGGAAATTTCTGTTAAGAGGCAATAAAGTAGGGGGACAGAGAAGAGGAAAGCAGGGTGGGAGGCACTAGAGCCTGTCCAGGCTGTGCCCAGACCTCTCCTCGATCCCTCGGAAGCTGTTCCCGATGATGACCAGCTTGGAGAGCGCCGCTGGGCTCCAGTTGCTCCACAGCAGGTTGTTGTACAGGGCCTTCCCGCAGTGCACCATGTAGAACAGCGTGGTCACACCCTCGATGCCGCGCTTCCCTTCCTGCCCAGGAACACCGAGCCCATCACGGCCGAGCTCCGTCCGTGGGCCCCGCATTGTTCCCCGGGGGTGCCCTCACCTCATTCTCGGGGAGCAGGCACAGCCCCAGCACTCACGGTGTGACCCGGGGGTGTCCTCACCTCATTCTCGGGGAGCAGGCACAGCCCCAGCTCTCGCAGCGCCGCCGCCTCCCGCGCTGAGAAGGCCGGGTCGAACAGTGCGCAGTGTGCGGGCGGCACCTGCGGGGACAGCGGCGTTGTTTTGGGGAGATAACCAAAAACTCCACAACTTTGGGAGAGTTGTAAAGCCGGTATGTTTATTACAGCGCCGGACGCACGTGGAGATTACTCTCCTTAAAAGACATGCGTACTTCTGGGAACTTCACGTCCCTTTTTATCCCCCTCTAAAATACACATGCATACAATTTCACAATAGGTTCATACATATTAATTTTTATGAATTTCGCGTGACATTTGCAGCTAGTTCTTCTTTATCAGAAAGAATTCCTAGGTCAGGTTGGCCTGCTCTCACAGCAGTCTGTCTTTCTTCATCATCCTCTGTCTCCCCCCCTATCTCTGTCCTTCACTGAAGCAGTTTCTCTGAGCCTCGGCTTTGCAGTCAGGCTACATAGCTATGCTTTCTAACCACAGACTCAAAGATGTACATTTCACCTAAATCAAAATGGATTTCTATTCTGTCTCAGCGTTAGCACGGCCCGGTGCTGCCGCCATGCTCCCCCCGGTGCCGGTGCTCACCCTCAGCTCGTCCAGCAGCAGCAGCAGGAAGGCGAGCTGGTAGCGGGCGATGGGGCAGCGCCCGAAGCGGCCCAGCCCGTAGCACACGCAGCGGGCGGGGGGCTCCGTGCCCAGCGGGGCCCGCACGGCTCCTGCGGGCGGCGGGGTCAGCGCGGCGGGGCCGGGGCTCGCTGTCCCCGCTGTCCCCACTGTCCCGCACCCCCCGCTCCCCGCACTCACCGGCGCTCGCCGCCCAGAAGCCGGAGCTCAGCAGATCGTCCCTGCGGGGAGAGCGCGGCGTTAGCGGGGCCCGGTGGGGGGAGAACACACGGAGCGGGGCCGGGCACTCACCGCGCCTCTCGCAGCCGCCGCAGCACCGCTTCTATTCCGGGGCCGCCTTCCCCTTCCTCCTCCTCATCATCATCCTCCTCCTTCTTGCCCCGCCGCCGCCGGGCGCGCCCCGCTCGCCGCCCTCCCGCCAGCGCCGCCATGCGCGCGGTCACGTGCGCGGTCACGGGACCGGGGGCGCGCCCGGAACCGGCGGCGGGAGCGAGCGGGGGGATCCCGGACCATCCCGGAACGGCGCCGAGCATCCCCGGGCCGCCGCAGCCATGGCCCGCCCCGCCGCGCCCGGTCCCGCGCCATGGTGAGCCCCGTCCCCGCCCGCCGTACCCCGGGAAGCACCTCCGGCCCCTCGCTGGTTCTGTCCCCGGTTGTCGGTGAGGTCTGGCGGCTCCCGGGGCTCAGCAGCTCCGTCCCGGGCCGTGGAGGGGCGGTCCGGGAGCGGATCCAGCCTCCCGCTCCCGGCCCGGCAGCGGCGCGGCTTCCTCGGTGCCGCCTCTGAGCCAGCCGGTGCTCCGGACCCGGGCTGGTCCTACGGGGAAAATCCCGCACCAAGCTCGTTCCAGACCCGGGCTGTTCCTACGGGGAAAATCCTGCACCAAGCTCGTTCCAGACCCGGGCTGGTCCTATGGAGAAACTCCACCACGAAACTTGTTCCGAGTTAGTGCTGAGTGACAGGACAGGATGGAGAGTGTTCTGAATATGTGATGTGCCTTCAAGAAATTCTGAGCAGGATGATATCATATCGTCAGAGGGACCCTGCTGTCTCCTGCTTCTTGGGAGTTTTTGGGTGCAGGCAGCACCCGGGAGCTGTTTGGGATGCACATGGATAATAATTCTCGATAATTATAATAATTATTGTACTCTCTTAATTATCATTATCTGCTGTGCTGAGAGTGCAATATCTCACAAATCTTTTCCAGATCTCCTTCCAGGTGTCTGAGAGTTGGAGTTATAGAACCTATTTTAAACTCACAGAAGTCGTCAAATTTAGTAATGAGGGACCTTGTTGGTGCTGCTTTTGGGTGTAAACTCAATGTGATTGTGCAAAGAATCGTGTCTCTCCATTTGCAATAACTTTTTGTTGCTCTTCTGTAGAAACAGAAAGGAGAGGGAGAAGGGTAACAGTTTCCAAATACACAATCATTTCTGCCAATTTTTTTTAGGTGGAATTACTTTTTCCTTTATGATGGCTCAAAAGTGAAGGAGGAAGGGGATCCTACAAGTGCTGGCATCTGTTATTTTTACCCTCCCCAGGTAATGTCTGCTTTATTACCTGTAAAGGGTTGCTGATCAGTCTGGATTGGGAGGGGTCAGGCTTCCAGGTGGTTTGGATTAATCCTTATTTAATAGTCACAAAAATTTTAAGAAGTTTTTAAAGAAATCCCAATTATCAATTAGCTCCAGGTGGAGCAGGGGTGGGCTCTCAGAGCACAGGCCAGCACAATCCAGCTCTGTCCTGGTGACATGAATAAAACACACCAGGGATGAAAGTTCCTCTTTATAAGCCCCAGGCCCTTGTGCTGCCTGGAAAATGCAACCCAATTATTTTTCTCCCAGAAATTTGCCTGTTCTACTGCGATTGATTTATAGAATCCCAGAGTTGTTAAGGTTGGAATAAAACCAAGTCCAGCCATGAACTCAGTGACACTAAACCTTGTCCCCAAGTGTCACACCCACACATTCTCTGAACTCTTACAGGGATGGTGACTCCACAACTACCCTGGGCAGTCTCTGGGTAGTCTCTGCCAATTCCTTACAAACCTTTCTGCAAATTGAGTTGAAATTATAATTGCTTTTTATTTATACCTAAAAACAGCACTGTTTTTTTTTTTTTTTTCTGAGTGCTTTAATGGGAAGTTAAAGCCTTTTCTCCCTGGCAGACCATCCCAGAGCAGCAGGAGCTGCTGTGTGGGCAGATGGCCGGGGTTGTTCGCTGCCTCACCGAGATCTCCGGGGCCCCTCCCAGCCTGGTCCGCCTCAGGAAGCTCAAGTTTGCTGTGGTGGTGGATGGAGACTTTCTGTGGGTGAGTTGAGGAGCTCCAGAGCAGTCACAGACTGAAAACAGCTGAAGGATGGCATCAGACAATGAGGGTTTATTATTCAGGGTGTGGGCTGCACCCAGGGAGAGCCAGGGAGGGTCTTTGCAGTGCACAAATTTCATTTCATTCATAACTTAAATTCTGTTTTCTGAGGCCTGGCAGTCACTTCAGCGTCCTGCAGAAAAATTTCAAGTACCTCATTTCTGTGCCCACACCCAAAGGGATTTCTGATGATGTTCCCAGCTGGAAACAGAATCCCAAAATCCCAGACTGGTTTGGGTTGGAAAGGACATTAAAGCTTATCCAGTTCCATCCCCTGCCCTGGGCAGGGACACCTTCCACTATCCCAGTCCAACCTGGCCTTGGACACTTCCAGGAATGGGGGATAACAGGATCCACATGCTGCAGTTTGTAAGGACACAGTCCAAGGCCAGGCTGGATGAGGTTTGGAGGAACCTGGGCTAGTGGAAAGTGTCCCTGCCCATGGCAGGGGGTGGAACAGGATGGGATTTAAGATCCCTTCTAATCCAAGCCATTCCATGATCCCACAATTCCACAAACCACTCAGTCTCAGTGACCCACAGACAGCCAGGGACTGCCTGGCCTGAAGAACAACCAAGAGCAGCCCTTGCTCTGCTCCCTGGATGCACTCCAGGACCCAAGCCCTGAAAAAGGGTGGATTTAACCCTTCAGGGAACAAACACCTGGTTACTTACAAGCCTTTGTAGAGAATGCAGCCTGCCAGGACATGGGGAGCCCAGTCCAACCTGGCCCTGGACACTTCCAGGGATGGGGGATAACAGGATTCCATGTGCTGCAGTTTGTAAGGACACAGTCACTGTTTGATAGTCTGATTGGTCTTTCCTTCTCGCCCTCAGCATCCCCGGAGCTTTGTCAGTGTCCACAGACATTTAATATATAAAGAGCAGTGTGGGGCAGTTGTGACAAAAGTGCCCCAAACCCTCCCCTGGCAACTGGGCTGAGGCCAGCCAGCCCCATTTAATTGGCACTGCCGCTTCTGTTTCAGCAACTCAAAACCTAGATGGAGCATCATCATAATATAAATAATGAGTTAATTAGAATGTTTTGAAGTACTTATTTTGAGGAAAATGTTCTTAGCTATTAAAGCACCAAGTTAGGTCATCTAACGTGGGAAGGGAGTGTGTCTGAAGCTCTGCATCTCTGATATTTATTTATCCTGTCTGCGCCAGGGCTCTTGTGTGGGTATGTTTGCATTTCCTTTTCCTGTCACTGTGATTCCGAGGGGTGTCTGCCTGCACAGAGCTGCCTGTCCTTGTGTGAAAGTGATGAGAGCTGTTCTCACTTGTCGTGCCCGAGTTCTGTCTGACAACCCCCTGCATGCCCTGCTGTGTGTGCTGCAGGTCCTGGGCTGTGCTGTGGAGCTGCCTGACGTGAGCTGCCGGCGCCTCCTGGAGCAGCTCATCGGCCTCTTCACCTTCTACCACGGCCCCGTGCGCGGGGCATACACGGTAACCGGGGACTGGGACAGGGGGACAAGGGACTGGGGACAGGGGGACAGGGGACTGGGACTTGGTAACCAGGGACTGGGACATTGTAATCAGGGACTGGGGACAGGGGGACAAGAGACTGGGACGCGGTAACCAGGGACTGGAACATGATAACGAGGGACTGGGGGCGTGGGGACAGGGGGACAAGGGACTGGGACACAATAACCAGGGACTGGGACATGGTAACCAGGGACTGGGGACAGGGGACTGGGGACAGGGGAACAGGGGGACTGGGACACAGTAGTGAGGGACTGGAACATGATAATGAGGGACTGGGGGTGTGGAGACAGGCTGACAAGGGGCTGGGACATGGTAATGAGGGACTGGGACATTGTAACGAGGGACTGGGGATGGGGGGACATGGTAAGGAGAGACTAAGATGTCGTCATGAGGGGTTGGGATACAGTAACGAGAGACTGGGACATGGTAACCAGGGACTGGGGGTGTGGGGACAGGGTGACAAGAGACTGGGACACAGTAACCAGGGACTGGGACGTGGTAAAAAGAGACTGGGACATGTTAATGAGGGACTGGAACATGGTAACGAGGGACTGGGGACAGGGTGACAAGGGACTGGGACATGATAACAAGGGACTGAGGACATGGGGACACTGTAACAAGAGACTGGGACATGGTAATGAGGGATTGGGGGCATGGAGACATGGTAAGGAGAGACTGGGACATGGTAATGAGGGACTGGGATACAATAACAAGAGACTGGGACATTGTAGTGAGGGACTGGAGACATGGGGACACAGTAACAAGGGACTGGGACATAGTAATGAGGGCTTGGGGACATGGTAACAAGGGACTGGGACACTGTAACAAGAGACTGAGACGTGATAATGAGGGACCTGGCAAAGAGGGACTGGGGACACGGTGACTTTTGGGGCAATTGAAACACTTCCCATGGTGTCCCAGCTCTGGTGCCCCAGTGTTCCCTTCCTCCTGCCAAGGGTCACAGATCCAGGAAGTGGGACCTGGAAAAGTGGGCAGGTCATTCCCACCATTACTCTGAGGTCCTGTGGGGCTCTGCTGACCCTTCCCCAGATGTTCACCCTAAGGAGTTTCCCTTCAGTATCACCTCCCACCTTTTCCTGACCTTATCCTGGCCCTGTGGATTGCATCTCCCATCCCAAAGGTAGAGACACTTTGCAGTGACAGTATTTGTGGGGGGTTTGTCACCCACAGGCGTTTTCCCAGGCGGAGCTGAGCAGGGAGTGGGACAGGTACATTGAGCACATCCAAAAGAACACCAGTGACCTCCACAGGATTTTCAATTCTCTCTGGCATCTGGACAAAACCAAGGTAAGAGCCTGTCCTCTGCAGTGCCCCAGTGCCACTGTGTTTGTTTATTTGCTGCTTTCCCAGGATTTTGTGGCCTCACTCGTTGTCTCTGCCCAGGTGGATCCCCTGCTTCTGCTGAAGGCAGCTCTCATCCTGCAGACGTGCCAGCGCTCTCCCCATGTCCTGGCAGGCTGCATCCTCTACAAAGGCTTGTAAGTAACCAGGTGTTTGATACCTGGAGGGTTAAATCCACCCCTTTCCAGGACTTGGGTCCTGGAGTGCATCCAGGGCTGCTCTTGGTTGTTCAAGAGCTTCAGGCCAGGCAGTCCCTGGCTGTCCATGGTCACTGAGACTGAGTGATTTGTGGAATTGTGGGATCATGGAATGGCTTGGATTGGAAGGGATCTTAAATCCCATCCTGTTCTACCCCCACTTTCCACTAGCCCAGGTTGCTCCAGCCCTGTCCAACCTGGCCTTGGATGCTTCCAGGGATTCAAGGGCAGCCAAAGCTTCTCTGGGCATCCTATGCCAAGGCCTCACCGTGTCACCCTGTTTTTTTAAGATTTTCTAAGCCTTCTGATGTTGACATTCTTGCAGTGAACTTTCTCACACACTTTCTGTAAATAACTCATTGTTTTGCATTCCTTTATGGAGGAGGAGGAAGTTGATGGGCTGTTGGTTTGACCAGTGTCATTGGAGAGGTGGCACTGTCACCCTCCAATCCACCGTCTCTCTTGGAAAACTATAAATGTTGGAGTCAGAACTTCCCTTTTTTCCTTCACCTTGAGAACAGCGGCGTGCGCTTGTGTTTTTTCGTGTCCTGTAGTGACACTCACCACCCTCATGGGAGGAATTCTTTCCCAATATCCCATCTAACCCTGCCCTGTGGCAGTTTGAGTCCATTGCCTCACTGTCCTGCCACTCCAGGCCCTTGGAGTCTCTCCAAGGTTATCTGTGCTCATCACCATGAAGGAGTTCATGATTTGGGTTTTAGTAGAAATCTGCTGGTTTTTGATACTCAGTAGGGTGTGGGGACTGAATTTCTGAGGCTTTTTAGGGAGAAGTCACCCAGGAAAAGGGAGATGAGTGGATGTTGTGCTCTCCCAGCAGTGTTCCCTCTGCAGGTGTGCAGTTCTGTGCAGGTGTGTCCGTGTGTCCCTGGGTTTGTCTGACCTGCTGGCCAGCACCACTGTCTGTACTGACAGGAGGTGCGCAGGGGGAGGAGTCAGGATTCTCCATGAGAAATTCCAGCTTCCTTCCATCAAAGATGACTGAATGACTTCAAGGAAAGCCTCCAAGGTGGCCCTGAAAGACAGGAGGTGGGGAATTCCGAGAATTCCTTGGCAGCAGCGCTCAAGTGCCATTTTTCATTGGCATGAGCTGTTCCAGTGACACCTTTTACAGGCACTGGAAATGTGCCACAGGGAGAGCATCTGCCAGGGAGTGACCTCATAGCTGCAGGCAGGACACTGGAGTGAGTCACTGCAGCACCTGAGAGTGAAGGGACCTGAGCATTTGACTTGAGGAGGGACTTGGGAGCCTTGTCCTGCACCAGGGTGTGTCATGCTGTGCCTCTGGTCTGTCTGGTCGAGACATTTTGTCACCAAATGCCATCAGAGTTGTCTGAGCTGTTGATCTCTAAGTTCCCTGTCAAGCCACACCATTCTGTGCTTGTCTGACTTTGCTTTGTCCTTTCAGGATTGTGAGCACCCAGCTGCCACCTCCACTCACTGCCAAAGTCCTTCTGCAGGGCAGCCGGTCCCCAGGCCAGGTATGGCACTGAGCACATTCCCTGCAGGCAGATTCCTGTGAGGATGTGCTGTGGGAGCTCTTGTCACACAGATCTGGCGTGTGTCACCATGGGGAAGGACAAATATTGGTGATGATGCTTAAAGCTTTTATTGCTCATGATTTAATAAGGTTCCAATATTTCTGCACTCTGAATTAGCTTTTTTTTTTTTTTCAGCCTTTAACTTGCTGAATTCATGAGTTCTCATTTATGTGGTGTTTTGACTGGCTTTTTACACAAGTTTTGGTATTTACTGGGAAATCCACCAAATGAGTCTCTGACAAACAGCAGTTTTCATTTGCTCTAAAACTTGTCAAAAATTACTATGTATGTGATCAAGATGTTCTATAAAAGCCATCAGTATGCAGATATAAAGGCAACCTTTGCTTTTCTTCTGCTTGAATGAAGGGAATTTCTGTTCCCTGAGCAGGTGGTGATGATAAATCTGGGCTCTGTCCTGAATTTTAGGTGTATTTTGGTTCTTGGGAAGCTCCCCTTGGCTTTGAGAGCTCCCTAAGGACCAAAACACTTCCCAGCACTGAAGAGTCCCAGAGTTTGCTGGGAGGGTGATGTAGGGTCTGCTGCAACCTTAGGGGACTGGGAGGGTGACAGAGGTGTCCTGGTGTCCCTGATCCATGCACAGAGCTGATTTTTGGCTTTTGTTGCAGAGTGAGCCTGGAGCTGAGGAGCTGCAGGAGCCTGGTGAGCATCCAGCTGCATCCTTTGGGCTGCCTTCCCTGCATGGGAGCACGGGCTGCCTCTCTGGGATTCACACCCAAGCTGTGCTGGAGTATCTCCAGAATATCCCAGAGGGTGTTGCTGCCACCAGCCAGCCTGTGCTGTGTGATCAGAACCAGCTCCTTCTGCTGGGGTTTGCTCTTTTGGGTTCGATTCCAGATTCTGCAGATTCCCAGCCTTAATTCCAGCTCCCCATGTGGCCACTTGGCCACTACCAGGCCCTGACAACAGATGGCTGGTGCTTGCAGTCCAAACCTCCAGCCATCCCCTCTCTCTCAGCGTCAGTGTGGGGATGATCTGCCAGGATGGAAACACTGAGGGGAAATTTAACTGTGTCAGGCATGGAGGGATGGGAAAATGCTGGGAACTGGCTGCCCAGCTCAGTTGGGATGCAGGATCATGAGGTTTGGTGTGGTGGGGTTCACAGGGGTTCCAGAACGAGGGAAGAGATGAGAATCTTGACTCCATGTTTCAGAAAGCTGATTTATTATTTTATGATATATAATTAAGAGAATTTTATATTAAAACTATACTAAAAGAATAGAAGAAATTATTTCATCAGAAGGCTAGAAAGGAATAGAAAAGATTGATAATAAAATCTTGTGACTGACCAGAGTCCCAAAACAGCTGGACCTCTGATTGGTCATCAAGTAGAAACAACTCACATGAGACCAATCACAGATGCACCTGTTGCATTTCACAGCAGCAGATAATTATTGTTTACATCTCATTTCTGAGGTCTCTCAGCTTCTCAGGAAAAAAAATCCTGTCAAAAGAATTTTCTGAAAAATATTTCATAATTCATATTTTATGAAAAATCCTGTCAAAAGGATTTTTCATAAAATACATCTGTGACAGTTTGGATTGTGGCTTTAAGCTGGGCCATGTCTGTTGAATCCTCCCCTGCTCTTGCAGAGCCTCTGCTGCCGCCAGGTGTCCGAGTGCTGCCCGTGTTCCTCACTGCAGAGGAGGTCTCTGCTCTCCAGGACTTCCCCGTGGAGTGGATGGTGAGGTAGGAAACCAGCCTGACCCAGGGACAAGATTCACAGCAGGAGCTCACACTGTGTCCCTGTTGCCATTGCCACTGTTCTCCCTGGAGCTAACTCAGGCTCTGTCACTGCCTTTGGAGCTGCCTGAGTCCCTCAGGCTGGGCAGAATTCCCATGTCCAAATCCCTGCTGGGAGCAGCCTGGAGCAGAGCTGCTTCCCCAGGCCAGCTGGGAGCTCTTGGCCCTCAAGCACTGCTTTGTGGACAAGGCAGGGACATTCCCAGGAGCCTGCAGGGTGAGATTCCCAGGCTTTTCACCTGTGTCAGACCTCGGCCCATCCTTTTCCCAGGTCTCTGTAGCAGGGGGTGGATCAGCCACTGATCAGGGATCAGCCATTGATCAGGTATCAGCCATTGATCAGTGCCAGGAGCCAGTGGGGTTAGCAGCCATGGGATAACTCCACACAGATCCTGCTCAGTGTTTCATTCACTTATCATCTCCCACTAGGTCACCCATGTCCCCAGCAGGCCCCAAAGGAGAGGACAGTGCTCTCTGCTCCCAGGCAGTTCCAGAATCAACAGGAGCTCCTGAACACCAAGCCCTGGATGGAATCTCTGTGCAGAAGTCCCATGAGGATGCATCAGAAACATCTGCTCCAGGAGATGCTGTGCAGCTAAGCAGCCCTGCAAGTCCTCTAATGGACTTTTCTGGAATGGGAGCCGGCACAAGGAATTCTTCAGCTGCCAACCTGAGTGAAGCAGGCAGTGAAAACTCAGAGCTCAGCAGGAAAACATCTTTCCCATCAGAGAGCGATACAGAGCAGCTCCCAAGCCCTTCCTCACTCCAGACTGAATGTAGTTGGACTGCAGGTCCATACCTGGAAGGCTTTTCCTTTCCCAGCCCTTACTCCTGCGAGCAGAAGAGCCAGGACAAGGGGGAATCCCATGTGGATTCTGACGTTGGTCACTGTGCTTCCCAAAATTCCCTTTCAGTCAGCCACAGCCCAGCTGTTCCTTCTCCTGCCCAGGAGCTGAGCAGGAGAAAATCCAGTGAGGAGGACAAGCCATGGACTGTGAGCCAGGACCGTGTGTCTGGGGGAAGTGACAGCACAGCTGGTGACCACAGCTGGGGCTTGGACTGTCCAGGCCCTGCTGGACACGCACAGCTCCACAACAGGAGGCAGCCGCTGCTCCCAGAGCTCCAGGAGGCTCTGCCCAGTGCCCCTGCAGGGGACAGGCCGTGTCCAGGCAGCAGGGACAGGCTGGGTGGCACAGGGGCTGAGCCAGCCCAGCTGAGCCTCTACGTTCACTGCATCCAGGGCTTGGTGCTGTCGCTGCTGGCTGAGGAGCGGCTGAGCCGCGACCGCGGCGCCGTGCAGGACGTGGTGAGTGGGAACGCTCTGCCCCGCTGCTGGGGGGCACGGGGCTCACAGCTGAGCAGGCAGTGCTGAATCGTGCTCCTGGTGCCTCCATCACCTGCTGGGAGCTGTGGCAGGCTCGGCAGGCTGCGTGGGAGCTGTCGGAGCGGAGCGGGGCCAGCCGCGTCTCACAGGCGGCTCCCGGTGCTGCTGCTGTTGTCTGGCACTGCCGGCTCGGAGCAGAGCGTGGGGGTGTGACAGACACCCGCGGGCTGCCAGGGGCCTCTGCTGGAGCTGGGATTCGCTGGGGATCCCCGTGGGTTCCGTGGTTTTTGGGTGTGTTAAAGCCCCAGCCTGTGTGTCACCGCCTCTCCTTAGGGAGCTCTGCAGACGTGGCTGGCAGCAGGACCCAGAGGGGTTCCCTTGGCTGTGGGAGCCTCCAGGCTGCTCCCTGGGGCTGGGGACAGGGATGCCATGTGGGCACTGCACTCAGTTAACACCAGAGCAATCCCAAATCTCCCTGGGGTGGGATTTGGGTGCCCAGACTCCCTCCCACTCCCATCCAGCAGAGACAGGATGTGCTGGCCCCCCGTGCTTCCTGTGAAGCATCAGCTGCAGAGCTGCTGCCTGGCCTCTGCCTCCCTACCAGGAGCTGAGTCAAAGCTGCAGAGCCCTGTTTGATATGCCAGTTGCCATAGGAACAACCTAATTTCCTTCCCCAGCCAGACTGGAAGGTGGAGGGAAGCTCAGACTAATGCAGAGCCTCAAGGTTGCTCCTTCCCCTCGGAGCTGTGGGACACCTGGGAGCTGGGGAATGTCTGCTCTGCACAGCAGGGCTGATGTGCCTGCCTTGGGATTGCTGCCAGATCAGCTGAGCCCCGAGGTGCAGGCAGAGCCCTTTGCACCAGACATGGCACTTTGTCCCCTTTCTGCTCGTCTGGAACAGCAGGAGGGACACAGGCAGGTGGGAATTGTCAGGCTGGAGAGTGGAATCCCTACTGCACAGGGATTGCGCAGTTCATCTTCCCTGATGTCTTGCCCTGGCACTGACAAGCCCTCATTCCATTCAGGTTCCTCTTTCCCCAGACATCCTGCTTCCATCTCACGTTCCCTTGTTTTCAATTCCCTTGGAATTCAGCTGTGCCTGGGCCCTTCTGCTGCACCCTCCCGTGGGTGCAGGTGTGTTATCCCTGAGGAGAGGAGCCCTGCATGTCCATTGTCTGGAGGAGGAGCAGCTGGGCTCTGCTGCTGCTGGATTTGAGGCACAACCTCAGCTTGTCTGTCCCTTTGTTTATCTGTAGGTTAAAAATGACCCTCCACTCTCAGGGATGTCAAAGCTTAGTTACTATTAATGTGTTTTTTGAATGCTTTGAGGCCCCCAAATGGCACCAAAGAAGGGTAAAATATGCTGCTTGTACAGCTGTGAACCTCTGGGAGGGTGGATTCCATCCCAGACTTTCCCTGTGGAGTGGGAGGCTCTTGGCCTCGCCTCCTGCTGCTCTTTAGGTCTTATCCCTTCATTTCACTGCACAGAAAGGAAAATCTGTGCCATGACAGGGGTCAAGGATAGGCCAGGCACTGCCGTCCTGCTGAACAAAGGCTTGATCCTCTCCCCAGTAGGGAAAAGCTCATTGGCAGGATGAGGATTGTGGAGTTAATCTTCCCAGGAGTGGTGGGGGACCCCTGCCTGTGCCCTGCCTGTGCCCAGGGAGCCTCAGCATGATCAGGGCCTCTGCACTACTGAAAATCCATCCAGAATAGCAGCTTGGCATTCATTCAGTGCTTTGTTGTGTGTGTTTGTGCTGCCCGGTGTAAGCAAAGGAATGTCCCTTGCTGGGGCTGTAAATCATGGGAAATGAGCCCTGGAGAGTCATGGCTGACGGTAAATTAATGGGGCCTTGCATTTTCCTGTAATTAGTAGCATCAGGTGCTGATTGTCAGGCTGGAGGGCCCTTTTCTGAATCATAGAATCCCAGACTGGTTTGGGTTGGGAAGGACCTTAAAGCCCATCCTGTTCCAACCCCTGCCATGCCAGGGACAGCTCCCACTGGACCAGGTTGCCCAGAGCCCCATCACTGCCTTGGGATCTCTGTGACCTGTCTGTTCCCTCCCTTGGGATCTCTGTGACTTGTCTGTTCCCTCCATGCCAAAATTTCCGAGCCATTTTAGGTGGGAGCCTGAACAGCAGAGCAAGGAAGGGTCTGGTCCTTCTGTCACCTGAACTCCTTCCAGAACTTCCTTGAAGCCCAGGTGAGGCTCTGAGCTTTTCTTTTCCCTCTGCCTGCAGTACCACAGCAGCCTGGCCTCCCTAAATGGCCTCGAGGTTCACCTGAGGGAGACCCTGCCCAAGGACTCCTCAGCCTCAGCCAGGACAAACTACAGCTTCACACACTATGACCGTGTCCAGAACGTCTTCACAGGTGAGCCTTCATCCTCTGGGCCTGCAGGAGGGAGCAATGAGGAGAATGGGGTTTATGGGAGCCTTTCCTCATGCCTCAGACAACATTTCTCAGCCAGATCAAAGGTCTGTTGTGGGAGCTTTGTCTGTTGGGATTGGGGGTGTCCCCAGCCCATTCTGCAGCTGTGTATGGTGAGCTCCAGAGCCTTTTCCTGCTCAGTGAACAGGGGCACACTGCAGAATGGGTTTTTACACCCCTCTCTCCTGTTGTGCAGCCAATTTGCCCCACACCCCTGGGCCCCTGGACCGGCACTTCCTGAGGGCAGCCACACTCATCCACTCCGACTTCAGCCAGCTCCCCACGGCCTCAGAAGTCATCATCAGGTAAGGGCTGCCCACAACCCACCTGCCCCAGAAGGGCACAACTCCTTTCCAAGGCTGGCTGGGTTTTGTTACCACATCCCAGGACCAGTCACGTTGCTTTATTCCCTAAATTTCCTTTGATTATGGGTTCCTGGGTGTTGAGAGGCTGCAGTGGCACCAGGAGGGTGGGCTGAGGGCACAGCTGAGTGGTGCCATGGCTTGGATTAAGATGCAACACTCACACAATTGCCAGTTCCTGGCACTGTAAGGTTCTAAGACACAGTTTTAAATTTAGCTGTTCCTAATAAATTTGTGTCTCGGCAGGGAGCCAGAGGCGCCCAGAATTGGCAACCTAGATATTGTTTTCTTGCACGGCTTGGTGGGTTGGAAACACTCTGTGATGTGCATGGCAAACCCAATTGTGATGCACCAGGAAGGATGGTCTTATCCCAGCCAGAGCCCTTCCCAAAAACCAGAGCTTTTCCTGACATCCAGAGCCCTTTCCCAGGCCATGGCTGGAGTGGACACCCCTTTCCTCAGCTGAGCTGGGAGTGCACAGATTCCACCCACCTGGTCCTGCTTGTTTGTGCAAAACATGATGAAATAAAGATGCTCCTGGGAATTACACAGTAACTCAAGCACTGCTTGCCAAGGGAATGTGAATCACACACTTCAGTGCTGGAGGATTCCTTGTTTAGCATGAGCTTTGCTGGCTGCTTAAATCCAATCCTAAACTGACTGGCTAAGCTGGCATGTTCCCTGTTACCCCGAAAAAAGCAACTCCATGTGTGAATCAGCCTGAGTAACAAGATGACTAAAACTGCTTTCTTTTATGGAGAGTTGTCACAGAAGGGTGTCAGCAAACATAGCAGTTGCTGCTTTCCTCCTTCGAGGAGGAATCCAGGGTCCTTGGCTTTGCTCCCTGCCAGCCCTCCTGCAGGGTATACCCTGGGAGGGGGGATTCTTAGTCTTAATTAATGTTTTTAATCACAGCTTTGGTGGTGAGTGAATCTGACTCTTGTCTGAGCTTCATCACACCTGTGAGAGGAGTGGTTCCTGCTGCAAGGTGCTGTGCTGGGATTTGGCTGTGGCCAGCAGCAGTGGCAGAGGAGGAATGTCAGGCACAAGGAGTGTTCTAGGCTCGTGGTGCCTTGGGCTGGCAGCAAGGGGAATCTTTGGAGTGTGGCCACACATGGGATTTCAGAATCATTAAGTTTGGAAAAGCTCTCCCAGAGCATCATGTCCAACCTGTGACCAATCCCCACCTTGTCACCCAGTTCAGAGCCCTGAGCTGGACTCAGTCACAGGTTGGACTTGATGGTCTTGGAGGTCTTCCCCAAACTAAATGATTTTGTGCTATCTCATTGTCCCTTTTAAGGATGCCAGGGTCTGGTTCCCTGTGGCTTTCAGGGGTTTGGTGCCTGTTCAGCTCCATATTCCCATGCTGAGACACCTGAAAGTCCCTCTCAAAACCTGGGATCCCAGTGCCCAGCTGTGAATCTTGCCCAAAGGTGTCAGTCTGACTCCTGCCTCTCCCTGCCCCTCCAGGAATGCCTCCACAGCCGTGTATGCCTGCAGGAATCCTGTCCAGGAGACCTACTTCCAGCAGCTGGGAGCTCCCCTCCGCAACTCAGGCGTCCCCAACCCTCATGACAGCGCCTTCAGCCTGCCCAGCAAGGCCAAGCAGAAGCTGCTGAAGCATGGGGTGAACCTGCTGTGAGCTGCTCAGACAACGGCTCAGCCTTGTGAATGTTCATCTCCAGGAAGGAAGGTCTCAGCTGTTTGTGCCCAGAGAGGCACATGGCCGTCCCCTGCCTCTCTGGGGTCTCCAGCCTGCCTGGCCCTGAGGAAGAGACACTCCTTGCCCTCTCCTGAAGCACATTTTGGGCTGGTGCAGGTGTCACTGGCAGCATTTACCAAAGACTGAGGACAGAACGCAGCGTCCTGGGGCTCTGGTTTACATGAACTTTACCGGGACTCCCCACGTGCCTTGATCTGAGGTAAAACCTCACCTTGCTCTGAGTTACACAGCCCCCAGGCACTGCTGTCTTTCAGAGATGTCAGTCAGCCACTGTCTGTGTCTGCCCTTGCCCTGGTCAGACTTTGGCTTTATTTCTGTCCCTTAATCCATGGCAATGATCCTTCCATGACGTTGTGCCTTACCTTGCTTAGCAGTGCCTGCCTGTTGTCACACAGGAGCAGAACAAGAGCTGCAGAGCTCACAGTCCCCCTCTGGGTGCTCCCAGGAGGTTTTTACACCACAGGTGACTCTGGAGGGATGTCCCTGTCCCTCCACACCTCCCTGGTCAGTGATGGTCCAGCCCAGCCCTGCCCTCCTTGTGGATGTGCAGCCTCCCAGGGGCTGGGTGATGGTGATGGTGGTGGGAGTGTCCCTCAGCCTGTGCTCCCTCCCTCCTGCTGTAGGACCTCATTTCACTGCTCTTAATGCTCCATTTGCCCACACTCTGCAGACCCCAAAGTTGCCTCTTAGCTGATGGGACCAAAGAGGTTTTGTACCCCCTCAGCTGCTGTCCCCTTTCTGCTCTGACAGTGTCCCCAATCCGTGGTGGCCAGGGGGACCTGTGGTGGTGGCTGCTTACACTGAGGGATGGATAGCTGTGTTTGGACCCTGCTGCTGGTGCAGACACACCCCTGAGTGTGACTGTGGAAATAAAGGAGTCTCCAAGGCTCATCCCAGCAGCCAGAGTCACGTTGTTGTCATGTTTGTGCTTCCCTGTGTGATGGGCTGGGTTGTGGGAGCTGTTCCCTGTTTACCTCCTCCAGGGGTGGTTCCTGCAGTGCTGGGGTGGAACAGGCAGAGCCTGTTGGTTCAATCAGTCCTGCAGAGCAGCTGCTTGGAAGGTTCCTGATGGATAGATGTGTTACTGGGGTCACCAAGAGATGGTGAGCAGAGACATGAACGCGGGGAGGTGCTGAATCAGAGCTGGGCATGGGAAGGTCACCACTGCCACAGCTTCTGCTCCCACTCCAGCACAGACGGTTCCCAAGGTTGCTCTGTCATCCCAGGGCTGCTCCTCAGACATTGCTGGGAATTTCAGAGGACTCCAGAGGACGAGCCAGCTGCTTGCTCAGGGGTGGCTGGGCACAGATGCCACCTGGCTGGCAGCCCTGGCAGCTGACGAGGTGTTTCAGCAGGAGCAGAGTCGTGTGGCACTGCTCCCATCCTGGGCATGGAAGGACTGTCAGGAGCCTGTTGGCAGCGTAGGAGTGAAAACTCCCTGGGAAGCCTGAGCTGGAGCCACCCTGGTGACCTCCTGTTTCAGTTCCACCCCTGTGGAAGATGGCACAAGGTAAGGTGCTGCTTCCCTGGTGACCTCCCTGCACACTTCCACTGCTCTGGTTATGGAGGCAGCACAGCAAACATTACAAGGAAGAATATCAGGGTGGGAGAAGGCAAGAGGCACGAGGGTTGTGTGCTCTGGGATCCCTGCTCAGCTGAGCCAAGTGACTCCTCTGGGAGATGCTGCTCTGCCTGTCCCTTCTACGCCCTCAGCAGATCTGGGTTCCCTCTGCAATTCCCAGGAGAGGAAGCCTTGGAGCACCAGGAGCAGCTCCAGCCTGCTCTTCTCCTTGGGGAGATCCACTTAGATCCTGCCTGGCTGCTTGGGAAGTGGCTGTGTGCTCTAGCAGGAAACACAGAGAAGTGGAAGGAGAAGCCTGAGAGGGACAGGAGGGAGATTTGGCACAGCAGCCAAGCACAGAGCGGATGGATGATCCTGCTCTGCAATCTGCTGAGCCGTCTGCCAGCCAGGAACAGCTGGGCTGGCTCTGCTCCTTCCTTCAGCTGCTCGGGCTGAATCTGCCCAGCCAGCCCCTGCCTGCCCACCCAGCCCTGTGCTGGTCAGGAGGGAACAGCACACAGAGAGCTCCCAGCCCGCAGGGCGATGGCTGTGCTGGAGAGAATGCTTAAAAAAAGGGGCATTTTTAATCTGCTCCATCAGCTGGGCCTGTCTGAGTGCTGCCAGGGGGGCTCATGGGGAGCAATTCCTGCCCTGCCAAGCTGGCTTTGGGCTTAAGGGCGTGAGGCATTGGTTTGCAGGCAGTTGGGTGGAATTTGAGCAGCACCCTCTGCTCTGGAGATGCTCCTGGGAAGCTGCTGCCTTTGATGAATCAGTGCAGGCAGCTGGAAGGAATTCCTGAAATGGTTTGTGGATCCTCTGGCAAGGCTGATGGCTTCTGTGTGGAGCTTTGGGCCTGCAGCTGCTCCTGGGGATGGCTGGGGAGAGTCTCTGGTGCCCTAGGCCAGGCAGCAGGGCTGGAACCCACAGGTGTCCCCCACCATCAGGCTGTGGGAGATGCTCCCTGGGCTCCACTGACATCACAGAATCCCAGGATGGTTTGGGTTGGAAATGACCTCAAATATCCATTTGCAAGTCCCTGCCACAGGCAAGGATTCATCCACTAGACCAGGCTGCTCAGAGCCCCATCCAACCTGGCCAAATCCAGGCCTGAGGAGCTGTGACTGCTCAGGACAGAGTTCCCATGGGCTGGGTATTTTTGAGCACTAGCCATTCTCACTGTATGCCTGGCAAACAGGCCTGTGCCCCCTCCCACCCTGCAGCTCCTGCTCTTTCCAGGCCATTCTCCCCACCAGATAAGCAGGACCCAACCCCTCGGTGTTTGCTTGACCCTGGAGTTGTTATAACAGCAGGCAAAGCCCATTCTGTTTTCAGCACAACTGTTTATTGATAATCTTTGCTTATCCACTGTATGAATGTTACCAACCTTTGGACAGAGCCAGCCTGCTTCCCCAGGGCCTGTGTCCAGGTAGCCAATGCGTGTAGAAATCATGCACTTCAGGTAGTCTGTAACAAGACGGGTGTAAAAAATATCTCAGATGTATTTGAAATCTCTGCCTCCTCTTGCAATCGACTCACTGAAAAGTCTGTAAAGAAGTTGTTGGGGGACAGGGCTGGTCCCTCCCGGGCAGGGCACAGAGGCAAAGGGTCCCCAGGCAGAGCTGTGAGCATCCACCACACACTGTGCTTTGGGGGGGTGTTAAAACCAGCCCCCAGACCCCAAAACAGATGAGGGGACTTCAGGAAAAGCGTGGTGGTCCCTTGGTGGGCAGGACCTCATTGCTCAGGCTGTAGAATTAACCCCCCCCTTGGGAATCTGTCCTGTGGTGTCAGGTCCATGGGAGCTGCCACTGTGTGTGCCTGCCCTGGCTTGAGGAAAGGAGAAGATGGAGCAGCAGAAGGAATGGTGACCTCCTTTTTTCCTACAGACAGACAAAACCCCCATTCTCTGTTTCCAAACAGCATCCCTGCCCCTGCAGGGCCTCCCAGCTGGGAGCTGGGAAAACTGAGGGTTGCAAATAGAGCAAGGAAGGGAATTGGGCAATTGCTAACACCCTTGGTCAGACTGAAGAGCACGACTGCGCGTGCTGTTCCCTTAGCAGGGTGGAGGTCAGGGCTCCTGCCTGGCTGGGCTGGCGATGGACTCTGCTCCCTGCCTGGGTGACAAAAGGGGTTTCTGAGGGCAGGAGGGCTGGGGAGCCCCAGCTGGCACATGGAGGAGGAAGCAGGAGCCCCAGGAGGGTTCTTTGTGAGCAGAGCCGTGCCCTGCCCAGCCCATCACACCCAACCTGGGGGGAGCACAGTGCCCATGGCAGCCCCCAGTGTCCATCAGTCCGTCCATCCCGGGCAGGGCAGGCTGGTTGGCTGTTATGGTGTGTGTGTGTGTTGTTCCTTTGATGACCACGAGGAAAATTTTTACATTACATTCAAACGAGCACCCTTGGGTTTGTTACTCTACTTCTGAACACCACAAAACACAGTTAGCAACAGAACACGATGGAGCAAGGGGGGCAGCGAGCCCCGGCGGGGCCGAGGTGCCGGCGCTTGCAAAAGAATCCCTGAAGCCAACGATGGAGGAAGAGGATGGGCGCGGATACACGTCACAGTTTCCATTTACAACACCCCCGGGAGGGAGCACCGAGGCTGTGAGCCGGGAGAGGGCCCCGGCAGAGCTGCCCTGAACCCACCAGGCCGGGCAGCGCCGTCATCGTCCCGGCGCGAAGATGAAGTCGAGGGCTTGGCGCTCGGCCGCCGCCACGTTGGGGTGCCACAGGTCCACCATGAACACCACGCGAGGACCTTCCTCTGGGGCACCTGGAGTGGTGGAAACACACAGTGAGGGCAGGGAGGGTGCCACAGGTCCACCATGAACACCACATGGGGACCTTCCTCTGGGGCACCTGGAGTGGTGGAAACACACAGTGAGGGCAGGGAGGGTGCCACAGGTCCACCATGAACACCACATGGGGACCTTCCTCTGGGGCACCTGGAGTGGTGGAAACACACAGTGAGGGCAGGGAGGGTGCCACAGGTCCACCATGAACACCACATGGGGACCTTCCTCTGGGGCACCTGGAGTGGTGGAAACACACAGTGAGGGCAGGGAGGGTGCCACAGGTCCACCATGAACACCACATGGGGACCTTCCTCTGGGGCACCTGGAGTGGTGGAAACACACAGTGAGGGCAGGGAGGGTGCCACAGGTCCACCATGAACACCACGCGAGGACCTTCCTCTGGGGCACCTGGAGTGGTGGAAACACACAGTGAGGGCAGGGAGGGTGCCACAGGTCCACCATGAACACCACATGGGGACCTTCCTCTGGGGCACCTGGGGGTGTTGCGGTGTGATGTCATGGTTTGCCTCAGTTTCCCCAGTGTGACCATGTTCACAGGGGTCTTAGGATGAGGGAAGAGATGAGGGTTTGACTCCATGTTTCAGAAGGCTTGGTTTATTATTTATTTTATGATATATATTATTTTAAACTATACTAAAAGAATAGAAGAAAGGATTTCATCAGAAGGCTAGCTAGGAATACAAAAAGAAAGAATGATAACAAAGGTTTGTTGGCTCGGACTCTCTGTCCAAGCCAGCTCACTGTGATTGGCCACTAATTAGAAACAACCAACATGGGCCAATCACAGATCCACCTGTTGCATTCCACAGCAGCAGATAACCATTGTTTACATTTTGTTCCTGAGGCCTTTCAGCTTCTCGGGAGAAAAAATCCTAGGGAAAGGATTTTTCATAAAAGATGTCTGTGACACCCCAGTCCTTCCCCAGGTGTGTCAATCACCTCTCCTTTCCCCAACCCTGACCCCTGCTGAGTGCTGTCTGTCAGTCCTGGCATGCCAAAAGGTGTCGAGTGACTGGCAGAGTTCAAAAGATGCCTTCCACCCTTGGAGGACACTGAGCCATCCGGGTGTCATTTGTCCCTTAAGACTTCCCCCCCCCTATCTGGTTGGTGGCCCTTTGTGCCTCTTCCCTCCCCCTCGGGGTTAAAAGGAACAGCAACCACACGGTTCAAAGAGTTCTGTTGGAGCAGTTGCTGGATTCAGAGGCCTGTGGGCCAGAAATAAAGCCCTGAATGGAAACCCTCCAGCAGAACTACTTCTTTCCTTCATCCTCGCCTTAAAGCTTCTCCACCAGAGGTAAACCTGAGCTCCTGCACGTCTGGACTTGTCTCAAGTGCCCAGCTGCAGCATCCAGCTAGCCAAAGGTGTCTCTGAGGTGAAAACACCACAGTTGCCACCTTTTGGCCAAGCAGCAAGGGCCAGACAAGCCCAGGCACGTTCCATCCAGCTATATTGGTAATATTCCAATATGGGGGGCTGGAAACGCAAAATGAGGGCAGGGAGGCACCTCTCCAGTGCAACACCAGTAAACAGCTGCTTACTGGGAACTCAGGAACATGGGGCATGCTCCTCCCAGCCAGGCCTGCTTTGGGATTTGAGGACTCCTGAGGCAAGGCCTCCGTGCAACTGCATCCTGGATATGTGCAGGGAGCGGCTGCTGCACCATTCCGGCCTTCCCGGCCCTGCACGGGGCTGTGCTTCCCAGTCCCACAGCAGGTCTGATGTGGAAGCAACAGCTTTTGTTCTCCCACTCTCTCTGCATGCTCCCCTGTGTAGAGCAGCTCTGCCTGATGCTTTCATGCCACGGGCGACTAATGCTGGGTAATCCGGGAGAGCTGGAGCGGAACAGGCCCTGTCAGGAGGGAGGAGGAACCATCCAGCAATCCAGCGAGGCTGCTCCCCTGCTGGCCTGCCACCACCAAGCTGCAGCAGGGCTGCAGACAGAGCAAGGAAGGGATTTGGGCAGTTCCTAATGCCCTTGGTCAGACTGAAGAGCATGGCTGTGTGTGCTGCTCACTCAGCAGGGTGGAGGCCAGGGCTCGGCCTTGTGGACTCTGCTCCCTGCCTGGGTGACAAAAGGGATTTCTGAGGGCAAGAAGAGGAGGCCGAGGCCGTGGCACTACAGCCAGAGCTGCCCTGCAGAGCTCAGTGATGGAGGAAACCGAGCTGCCATGAGGGCAGAGGATCAGCAGGCCCTGGGCAAGTCGGGATGGGAGCGAGCCATGGGCTGGCTGAGGGGCTCCAGGGGTGTGCCAGGATGTCCCAGCACCCTGAGGCAGAGGGAGTGAGTTCATGGGGAGTCCTGCCATGCCAGGGACAGGGCTGCTCCCACCCAGGGTAGGCCAGGGCCCTGAGCCCCTCAGGACATAGGGACCCAGCCATGCTGGGGCAGCAGAAGGGACTGGGCATGGGTGCCCCCCTGACTCATCCCTAGTCCCCAACACCAGAGGGGACACCACGAGGCCTCACACACTGAACTCACCTTCGTGGAACGCCGTGTGCAGGAAGGAGTCATCGAAGAGCAGGCACCGGCCCTCAGCCCAGCACTGGGGCTCGCCCCCCACCACCAGCTCGCAGTTGCTGGGTGTCTTCAGACCTTCAAGCACAGAGAGAGAGGACAGGGAGGGTCAGGCCGTGCTGAGTTCCCTGTGGTGGGGCAGCAGGGAGCAAACTGAGCTCTGTGGGAGCCCCATGCTGCTACTGAGGGGCTGCTCCCCTGCAGGGAGTGACCTGAACCCCAAGCCTGGAGTAGCTCAGCCCCTGCCTCACTCCCTGTCTGCTCACTCCTGCCTTTTCACTGTCCCCAGCAAGCTCAGCACTGCAGGCACTACTTTCATATCTGGAGCAGCTTCCCAGTCCCCAGAGCCCATGGCCCCGAGGTGTGCACAGGGAGCCAGGCTCCTGGGATATTTTCCAACTTCAGGACCAAAGGTAAATCCTGCCTGCTCCTTCCTCCAGCCCTGCAGCAATGACCCTGCCCCAGACAAGGATGGGAGAGCAGGAATTGCACTGGGGCTGGAAAATGGGGGCTCTGCTGTGGCTCCACCACAAGCTCCCCAGGGACCTGCCCCATCCCTCAGTCCCCACCCAAGGTGCTGCCTCAGGGTTACCCATGGGGCTGCAAGGACAGAAATCTGGGGGAGTCACAAAACACTCACAGGGAAGCAGCTCTGTGAGGGCCACATGAAGGACAATCACAGAAATAAAATGAGTCCTTTCCTAAAATACCAGCACAAACCAAGGCAGTTTGACAGGGGTAGATCCCATCACCTCCTGCACCAGGACTGTCACCCCTGCAGTGCTGGGGACGCTGGAGCTGCTGCAGAGCCATCCTGCCCCGAAGATGTGGCCGTGGTGGAGAAAGGGGTCAGGGCTCACGTGGCTCCTGAACGGTAACGATGCAGCAAATGAGCAGGACGGATCCAAGAGCAATGCCAAACCCAGCCAGCGCAGCAGGGACTCCCAGCTGCCCGGCAAAGCTGGGACTACAAAGCTGCTGTTTCAAAGGCTGCAAAATCCAAAGCCATTTCCCTGCACAACAGCCTCAGCTGGAGATGCTAGAACAGGGAAGCTGAGCTGCTGGGGGATGCAGGGAGGGAGCAGCCTGCAGCCCTTCCATCCCACCCACACCCTCAGGATGCTGCCCTGGCCCATGGAAGCTGCCTGTCCCTGGAGTAAATCCTCAGGAGTGATTTGCCCCACTGATGGCTGTGCTGGCTTTGCAATCCAGCTGCCTGAAAAGGCAGGTTGTGTCTCAAACACGTCCATGCCCTGGGCACAGCAAGAACTGTGTTCCCAGCACCAAGGTGGGGGTGCCAGTGTGCCCCTGTCCCAGTGCTGAGTCCCAGTGGAAGGACAATCAAATGATCCATGTCATTCCTCTGCCCAGGGTGTGTGTGTTCCAGGTGTGCTCACCTGAGCCCACTGGCTCCTCCCAGGAACCTCTCCCAGCCCCTCATGAGGGGAGCACATCCCCCAGTGCCCCAGAGAGAGGGGTGAGTGACAAGCTTCCTCCTGGCACCAGCAAGGGCAGCTCCTGGGATCAGCTCTGAAAACAATTCCCCACAAATGGCCAGCAGTGCCTGGGTGTGTTTACCCGAGCTGTTGGCTGAACAGGCGCGGTTGGTGTTTGCCAGCCGGGCCCGTGCGGTGCCTCCCCCGGCACGGCCGGTGCTGTGCCAGCCCAGCCATCTGTGCCGTGTGGGCTCTCCCCGTGCCTGCAGGGAGCACTGTGCCACCAGCCCAGTGCCTGACCCACCGCAGGGGACACCCCAGGACATCCCTGCCCCCACTCACAGCTTTGCAAACCCCAAAGCAGCATCTCTGTGCTCCCATCTACCCGTGTCCCGTGCAGAGCACCCGAGATTCCAGGAGAGGGGAGCTGCCAGTGGCAGAACACAGTCCTGGAGCAGCACCCCAGGCTGCCCGACATCCCAGCGTGGGAGAGGGACCTGCCTGCAGAGAGGGGACTGTTCAGAGACCCCTATGAAAAATCAGCTGGTATATCACACACCAGAAAGAGTCCACAGCCCTGGGTCAGTAGGAGGAGGATGTGAAAGCCTCCTGGAGACCCTGGGGATGTCAGGTACCCAGAGACTGAGTACCACCAAAGCCCCCAAAACCTTCCTCAGGCCAAAGGTGTCGGAGCCCCAAGAGCACAGAGTGCCAGAGACGTTTCTGGGACTCCTGCACCCTGCCACCCTCCTGACACATGACCCACGGCGCTGGACACTCACCGAGGTGGCAGCGGATGCGGATGTTGGTGGGCCCATAGTGCTCGGCGATGACGGTGCCCGGGCTCAGCACAGAGATGCAGGCGTTCCCAAAGACATTGTTGCCAATGCAGGTGCGGAGGCTCCCGAGCAAGCGGTACGTCCGTGGGCATCTCCGGCAGTTCCTGGGCACGCACATGCCCTGGTTCACCAGGTAGAAGGTGAACCACTCCCCGCTGGGCGTGCTGTTCATTTTCCATCCTTGCGGCAGGCTGCAGTTTGAGAACGCCTTGTACAGGGTCTCAAACTCGCACAGGATGGTCTGGAAGTTGCGCTCCAGCAACTCCACGTCGTGCTTTTGAGCGTCCCGCGAGAAGTAGGGCGTGGTGGGCAAGTCGGGCAGGAAGAAGACTTCTGGCTTCTGGATGGAGGGCCTGCTGTTGAGGTAGCGGCCCTGCTCGCGGATGCCCTTGTGGATCCTGCCCATGCCGGACCAGGAGTAGCGCTTGGCGTACTCCTGCAGGTTGTGGTAGAGTTTCTGGTTGAGGCCGTCGTGGTGCGAGCAGCGCACGCACTCGGGCGACTGGCAGTACACGAAGCCGTTCTGCACCCCGTTGGCCTCGGCGCTCTGCATCAGCGCGTTCACCGTGGCGTAGGCGCGGGGCTGCTCTCGCCCCACGTGGTAGCAGTACCACACGAAGAGGACCAGCAGGCAGGCGACGGCCACCAGGGCCGTGGCGTCGCAGTCGCGGAAAGACTGGATGCCCGTGGCGATGAAATCCCGGAGTCCGTCCAGGGACCAGCTCCAGTCCGTCAGCCACTCCAAAGACATGGTGGTGGTGCTGGGAGCGCGCAGCGGGGCCCGGCGGTCACTGCTCGTGGGGCTCAGGGGCACCCACACCATGCAGCCGGGCCGGGGCGCGGCGGGAAGGGGCTGCCATGGGCGAGCGGAGCGGTGGCTCTGCCCTGCTCTGCCCTGAGCTCTGCATTGGCAGCGGTGCCCGGCAGCACCCCTGGGTCAGCAGCTACGTGGCTGGAGAATCCTCGCTGGTGTTCTTGGGCCCATCACGCTGAAAGGCAGTTCTGGAGGGAGGTTCTGGGGAGAGAAACCCAGAGGTGTTAGGGAGAGGGCTGTCCTGTGGGATCCCTGCTGGGGTCAGTGCACAGGATACAGCTGGAGCTGTGAGCTGGGACTGGCTCCTCAGTGAGGGGATGGTGGATAAGGGGCCCAAGGATGCTGAGTAAATCCCCCAGTGCTCTCAACAGCATCTTCCACAAATACCTAAATAAAAGGCCCAGACCCAGACTCCATCTCCCACCACCCTAGTGCTCTCAACATCTTCCACAAATACCCAAATAAAAGGCCCAGACCCAGACTCCATCTCCCACTGTCCCAGTGACCATCTCCCCTCCTGCTCGTCCTTCAGTTTCTCTCCTAAGCTGCTGCCTTATCATGTCTGAAATCTGGCTGCTAAGTGAATATACACAGAGAGTACACACTTCGCTGCCCCATCTGGCAGCACATCAGCTTATCCCATCCACCTGATGTCTCTGAAGTGACTCTCCCTCTCCAGACTGAGCTGTGGGAGAGCCCAGAGCTCAGCCAGCACATGGCCACAGGGCCAGCACATGGCAACAGGTCAGGGTGGTGGCAGCAGGGGCAGCTCAGGTTGGCTTGTTTGATTTCACCAGCTCACTAGTAAGAGCACTCACTAAGTAGCAGGATGGGTTTATGAGCCAGGAAAGCCATCCAAACCCTCCCCAGCCCTTCCTGCCAAGGTCCTGCAGCCTCTCAATGTGCATTTCCTTATCAATGGTGATGGAGACAGGCTGCAGATGGGATCTGACCCTGCTGCAGGGCTGGAGACCTGGGATTCAGGCAGTGCTACACCCCAGGGAGGAACATCCACACACCCAACCTCCCTCCACCCTACTTCCTTGTAGCGTGCTGCCTGCATGCCCCATCCCAGGATCTGCAGTCCACGTGGCATGTCACAGCCTCCCGGGAATCTCAAGATAACTTTCCTCCATCTCCACAGCTGGCATCCCTCCAGACTCTCCCGCTTCTCCCACCCAGGCCTCCGTTCCCGGGGTGCAACCACATAATTGGTGCCAGGGACGTCCCCCGAAGCCAGCATAACCCCCGTGCTACCTGCAGGACTGGAGCATGTTAGGGAAGGAGCAGAGCCCTGGGTGATGTTTATTCAGGGTGGTTCCTGCCCTACAAAGGGAACTGCTCAGGCAGAGCAGCCACGCTCAGTCAGAGCTGATGGCAACACAAAGGGGAACAGAGCTGGGGGGTCCGACAGCCTCGGGGTCCCCAGGTCAGAGTCACACCCTGCAAGGGTGGCACAGCACAAACACGGCCCCAGTGCTGCCCCAGGAATGCAGGCAACACCTCAGATCAGGGGGAACCATCAGAGCAGCAAGAAATCCAAGCCCTCATTGCCCACACACTGCCTGCTTGACCCCAGAGAGCCCAGGAGCCCCTTGCTGCAGAGCCCTGGGGTTCTCTGAGCACAGTATCCGTGGGACCAGCCCAGGAGCTGCCTCCTGTTCCAGCACAGCCACCCTACTGCAAATCTGACCAAACCCACCCCCAGAGGGGCTGTGCCAGCGCTGGGGCAGGGCCCCAAATATCAGCATTGCTCCCAACACACACCCTGTGGCTGGGGCTGCACGGGGCACTCAGTAGGTGCTGTCACCTCCCAGCCACAGCCCTGCACCCACACGGGTCACATCCAGCACCCCCGGCCTGAGATCCCAGAAAAGGCTTCTCAGCTAATGATGATGGCAGAGCCATTCCAGGGAGAGGAGATCAATTCCACGTTGCACCGAAGTTGTGCAGGACGTGGAGGCGAGCACCGTGCCAGCAGCAGCCGTGTTACATAAGGAAGGCAGAGGCTCCGATGCAGCACAAAGTTGCATCTCGGTGACTCCGTGCTGGCCACGGCATCTCCTGGAGGCAGCGGGTTCGGCTCAGCCCAGCCAAGGTCCCCGGGCCGTGGGCCTGCAGTGACGGGGACGCGTGGCGGGGATGTCCTCGGCTGGGCACGGCTGGTGTCGCCTCTGGGAGCAGCATGAGGAGCAGGAGCCATGGGATGAGGCGGGATGCCCGCTGCCACTCCGGAACGGGAGCAGCGGGCGCTCCCTTCACCCTCTCCCGAGCGTGCCACCCCGCCGGTGCCACCAGAGTAAGTGTCACCCAGTGTGATGGTGTCACCCGGCGTGGCGGCGTCAGCGGGTGTCACCGCTGTGGCCGCATCACCCGGCGTGGCAATGGCACGGCCGTGCCGCTGTCCCATCACCCGGGGGCACCTGCCTCCGCGCTGCCACCCGGCCCGCCCGACGCCGAGCCCCTGCCCCGGCCGGGAACGGGGGGATTCCGTCCGCGCCCCCTCCGCGGGCCCCGCTGCCGCCCCGCGCCCCCGCGGCCCCCCCCGCGATGCGCTGCGGAGCGCTGCGGTACCGACCTGCCGCCCGCGCCGGGCCGTGCGGGGCCGCGCGGGGCCGCGCTCCCTCCGCGCCGCTCCGCCGCCGCCCGCCGCGGACCACAACTCCCAGCAGCCCGGGCAGGAGGGGCCGCGCCGCCCCCGCCGGGACCGCGCCGGGCGGCAGCTGCGGCCCCGGCCCCGCACAGCCCGCCCGCCCCCGCGCCCGCCCCGCGCCGCGCCCGCCCCCGCCCCGCGCTCCCGCCCCGCGCCGCCGGGAGGGGCCCGCAGGGGCGGGGGAGCCGCGGGGTTGCGGCACTCGGGAGGGGTCCCGGGCACGGAGCGGCGCTCGGGAGGAGGCGGAGATGGTCCCCGAGGGAGCACCCATCCCGGCCGCGGGCACCCCGGGACGCGGGGATGCGGGGGCGCGGGAGGGGCGGGGGCACCGGGGGTGCAGCGGGACGCGCAGGGACAGCGGCTCCCAGGATTCAGGCGCCGGGGGCTGCTGCAGTCTGGGGATGTGGTCCCCAGGGGTGGGAGCGCGCAGGGATGCAGCCACCAAGGGAATGGGGACTGGCTCCAGGGACACGGGCTATTAGGGATGCAGCAGTTGGGAGGTGCAGGGTTCTGGCTCCAGGGATGCGGGAGCACACGCATTCAGGGAGCAGGGAGCACTGGCTCCGGGGATTCCGGCCCGTTGTGCTGCAGCCCTCGGGTTGCAGGGGTTGCTTGTGTCCAAGAATAAATGTATCTGGCATGCAGGGGACAGGAGCTCCCAGCGAGGCAATGCCCGAGGTGCAGGCAGCCAGGGAGTGCCTCAGCGAGGATGTGAGGGTGTGCTGCGGCACCAGGGATGGGGGGAGACTGTTCCCAGCTTGGAGCGTCCCTTTACAACTCTTTAGTGCTAGTGAAGAAACTGCCCTGAGTCCTCCTGCTTGCCTTCTTCCTCCCCAACCCATTTCCTGTTCTCCTAAGCCAATGCTGTCAGTTCTGGGGGCCCCAGGGGATCCAGAGCTCCAGTCCTTCCTCCTCGATCGCCCAGGTGCAGACAGATCCCAGTGCAGGCAGATCCCAGGTCCAGGCAGACCCCAGGTCCAGGCAAACCCCTGGTAGTGCTGCCCTGCCCTGTCCTGCCCTGTGGCCGTGCCACGTGGAGCCGTGTGGGACACGTGTCACCACCACAGGGCACAAGGAAAGCCCTGCCTTGTTTTGCAGATTTTGCCATCCGGTGCCCACGCATCCTCCCCTGGCACTGCTCAGGCTCTGGAAGTGGAAGCAGAGCTGTCCAGCACAGCCCCTCAGTTGTGCTTGTGCTTCCTCTGAGCAGCTTCATCCTTGGCAGTCCTAAAATGCACCTTGTTTTCCAACCTGGCACATTTTCTGCCTCCTGCTTGCTCCTGCTACTTCCCCATGCCCCCTCCAGCACATTCCCCAGCCCGGTGTGCTGCTGCAGGGCCCTGGCAGCGTTGCGTGCTGCAGGGTGAAAGGAATGAGAGTTTTTCCCACCCTGCTCCTTCCCAGACCCCCCAGGCTCAGGCACAGCTCTGCTCCTGGCAGACAGCGCGTCCCTCTGTTGCCACTCGCAGGCTCCGCGGCTCTGGGCTCTCCCTTCCTTCCTCCCCTGCCTCTGCCCTCTGAGCTCGCTGCTGCCTCTGGACCTGCCCCTGGTCCCCAGCTCCAGCACTCATCTCTCCCCTGCAGATCAGCCTGGCTTTCCTGCAGGCTCCAAGAGAGCTGGAGAGGGTGTGGAGTGACAGGACAAGGACTGGCTTGAAACTGAGAATAGGTTTAGATAGTATATTGAAAATAAATTCTTCCCTGGGAGTGGTGAGGCCCTGGTACAGGCTGCCCAGAGAGCTGTGGCTGCTCCATCCCTGGAATTGTTCAAGGCTAGGTTAGATGGGGATTGGAACAACCTGAGGTGGTGGAAGGTGTCCCTGCCTGTAGCAAGGGGTTGGAACAAGATAACCTTTAAAGGTCCTTTCTAACCCAAGCCAATGATTCCATGATTCTGTGATTCCTCAGCACGCGGAAGGCCCCTTGAGGAGCACTGCCCCAGCTCCAGCCTGAACATTCCAGGAAATCCCAGCCCTGGCAGAACACAAGCAGAGTTTTGGCAACAGCTGAGGGGAGGACACTGGCAGTGTCTGCCCCAGGAGGACAGCTCAGGAAAAGGGAGAAGGAACCACTGGAGCCAGGAGGCTGCCCACAGACTGGGCTCCTGCCAGGGTGTCACTGGCAGAGCTGTGCCAAGGGCATCCCAGGGCTTTTCCCAGCCTGCTGGGCTGGGCAGGGATGCTGTGCCTGGGCTGGAGTGGGCAGGGATGCTGTGCCTGGGGTGGAGTTGGCAAGCATGCTGTGCCTGGGCTAAGCAGGGATGCTGTGCCTGACATGGAATGAGCAGGGATGCTGTGCCTGACCTGGGCTGAGCAGGGATGCTGTACCAAATTTGGGCTGGGCAGGGATGCTGTGCCCATCTGGAGAGGGCAGGGATGCTGTGCCCAATTTGGGCAGGGATGCTGTGCCGTGCCTGGGCTGGGCAGGGATCCTGTGCCTGGGCTGGAGAGGGCAGGGATGCTGTGCCCGATTTAAACACAGATGCTGTGCCTGGGCTGGAGAGGGCAGGGATGCTGTGCCCATCTGGGCTGGGCAGGGATGCTGTGTTGCCTCACCAGCCTCCAATGCAGCTTGCAAGGAATCAAGGGGTCCCTGCTGCTCCATCCCTGACTTCGAGGGTCCCTCAGCCCTGTGACTGCCGTGACACGGCCCCGCTGTGCCCCTGCCTTGCCCCAGGGAGGGTGAGGCCGTTGTGGCCGAGGCTGCTGGGCCCAGACAAAGCTCCATCCGCAGCACATCGCCTGAGGCCAGAGATTGGCTCTGGCTTTACGTCACCGAGGAGGAACGGCAGCATGAAGGGCTTTTTTTTTTTTCTCCCTTCATTTTAATTCTCTTGCAATCTCCGTCCAAAAATAACCCAATCTCCCTCCCCCAGGAATGCTCTGCATCAGAGCCTTGGCTCCCTCGCCCCCTGTGCATTAGCCTGGCAGCTGCTGAGCAAAGCCATTATCGATGTCACAGCGTAACCTTGGTTAAAAGCACGCCCGGGGAGGGCAGCGCTGGTGCATTGTTGTGGGTGCGGAGGGGCAGGGACAGATGGGAGCCCCCGGGTTTCCTCGGCCGGGCATTCCCCGGGGTATGGGCTGAGCATCCCCCTCCCTCCCCGCTGCCAGGGACACTTGGGGCTGCTGGCATCAGGGAATGCTGCTCCAGCTGGGGTGGCGCTGCTCCTTGGCGAGGTGACAGTCACCGTGCTGCCACCACGCTCTCTGAGCAGGCAGGGCCGTGCTCAGGCTCCCCTGGGCAGGAGCTTGCCCTGCCCACACCTGATGCTGGAGGAAAACCTTGCAGGGGCTCGTTTCTTCCCCCACCGGAGCAGCTCAGCTCCCAGGGAGCAGGGGGGGACTTTTCCCACCCAGCCCCGGGATTCTCCCAAGCTGTGCCTGCCTGCTCCGTGTGGGATGCAGCCCTGTGCACACCAGGGGCAGGTGGGGCAGCTGCCAGGTGACAGCCACAGGTTGTTGGGCGGCCAAGGGGTGAGCAGGGCACAGGCAGAATGAGTCCCCACAGACCCCCTGCCCAATAGGGTTGGGCTACCAGGGCTCCCCAAAACTTTCTGCATGTGACAACTTTCCTCTGTGACAGGGGCAAGGGTCTCCAGTGGGGTCCCAGTGCTTTGGGGCAGCACCCATCCCCCCACCCACTCTGTGAGACGTCACTGGGCTGGCCTGGCATGGCAAGGGGCAATGCTGTGGGGTGACCCAGAGAGGGGAGATGTCCCCAGGGCCATGCCAGGTCACCTCATGTCCCAGCAGGGCTCAGATGCCTCCATCCCACGGGAGCAGGGGGTACTGTGGGGCTGCACCAGGGCAGGACCTGGCACTGAGAGCCAAGCCAGTGGCTTTGGGCCACCATCCCACAGCAGGGCATGCAGTGTACCCAGCCCTCACCCTGCCCTGCCTGCGGCCAGAGCGTCTGCAAACTGATTTCAGACATTTAAAAATACAGAACAGTTGTTATCAAGGTTATACTGAATGCTAGAGCTTCCCACGGAACTACTTTATCATGTTCAAAAATATTTAATCCCAGCAATTTTCACATTGTTCTTATAAAAACAGACATGTATGAAGGGAAATGAAATGCTTCGTACATTTTTTTTGGCACAATTTTTTTTTCCTCTTTTTTTTTTTTTTTTTTTTCCTTTTTAACCGTTACAAATTACAAACACACATTCGTTGTTTTGAAAGGAAAACCCCTAAAGCCCAGCTGTACACTGCAGAGCTGCACCAACCAAACCACCCCGAGCTCCCCCGGCCTCCCGCGCTCGCCATTGTTCTACAAGGACAAAAGAAGGACACCAGCAGCCAAGGACGTGGTGGTGGCTTCACTGCCCTCCCCAGGGGCTGGCTGGGACACAGCAGGGACAGCGGTGGCCCTTTGGGGTCCGTGTCCCCACTGCTGTGTGGCTCTGGCAGGGGTGATGCAGTGAAGGAGTGATGGCGAGGGTGGGGCTGAGGGTGATTTCTGCCTGTTCTGCTCCCCACAGAGCTCCTGTGCTGAAGCCTCCACACGTCCCAGCTGCCTCTCCTTCCCAACAGCTCCACCTTCATCCCCTGCACAGCACAGCCCGCCAGGGCCCCTCCTGCAGCAGGAGCCAGGGAGCCCAGCCCATCCTGCTTACCCTGAGATGCTGCCAGGGGCACAGAGCCACCCTCGGCCGGGTCGGGGTGATCCTGGCAGGGTGATGGGAAGTGCTGCTGGAGAGGAACAACGGGCACAGAGCAGAGAGGCACCAGCTGGGAGCTCTGCTTTTGCTCCAGGGTGACTTCCAGGGTGACTTCCATTGCTCCCAGTGGCAGGGTGGCACTCTCCATAGGTTGGTGCTTCTCCACAGAGCATCACCCCAGATCCTGGCTGGCTGCCTCTCCACATCCAAAGTGAAGTGGGAAAAGAAAGCAGCACGTACCTCGTGTGTGCCAGGCTGTCCCTGAGCCCTGTAGCAAGGACAGTCCCTGGGCCAGTGCCCCCTGAGCCCCCCAGGA